GGCCTTCTGGAAGGTCTGAGTGACTTTAGGTGGAATAACCGGATCTGTTTGCTCCTGAGGAGCAGGCGCGAGTCCGCTAAGGAAAGGCAGGGAGACAGATGGTCGGCTATTGTGTTACAACCATCATCTGCTGGGCCGTGAGCAAATATTAAGTGAATAATATATATGTAATTGGTGTGAAAGTACAGTTGCAACATTTCTAATTCCCTTTGAACGATGGCTACTTCTTGAACATTTGTGTTTCATAGAATACTATATTGAAATGTTTTTGTTTACAGGGTTAATCCATTTTAAACTGCTTTAAAGTGAACATTTTCCCCCATTTTTGACACCACTGTGCAATATTTTGAATTGAAATGGCCTGTAATGGCCCTTTTTTTATTTTCCATAACAACACGAGCACTAAATTATAGCTGTGCAATTATGTAAACAATGGAAATGCTTCCAGAATGAATCCTTCCTTTTAAATTTTCATTTTGTGTAATTGTTGGAAGGTTTGGAACCATAATAAACAAAATTATTTTACACATTTATCGTTCTAAAGGTCAATTATAAGAGAACTAAAGAAACAACACTATGCAAAATGAATAAACCAATTTCTGTTGCCATCACCATATGTTTTTCTTATCACTTATGGTTTTTCCAGTTACTGTGTACATAGCATTCAATTAAAGCGATTCATTTACCAGGCTGAATGCGGTTTGTGTTTATAGAACAGTGCTTTGGAGGAGAGGAAACAACACGCCTCTATTTGAATTACCTGATTTTTTGTGAGATCAGTGATAAGAGACAGATGTTCTCACCAGTTACTTTCTCATAAGCCGGAATCTTTTGATAAGCTGCAAATTCACAATTATTATCATACAGTCCACTTTCACACTCAATGTGTAGCATGCATGCGGACTTTTAACCAAAAACAGGAGAAAAATACTACTTTGGTGGTCTGTTTACTATATCGTAGCATTTTGCAGAATGAATTTTATTTCCTTTGAACAAAACCGTGTGAAAGAGTTTTGTCCGTGCCTCATACTGGTCAATTTTCAAGAATAAACTTGATTCCTGTCCATTTTTCATTGGGCTTATTATATTTTAGTCTCTTTAGATTATGGAAGAAGAAACTGATTTTTGCTACCAGTTTCACTTGTTTCAGGTAAATTCTAGAACTGAGAAGAATGAAAGCTAGAAGGTCTAAACATACCATTTTCTGTTTTTATTTTATTATTTGCCTTAGAAACTATATACATTATAGCTAATTGCTAGAATGCTTTGCTAAGAACGTTATCTGAGAGCATTAATTTCTAGAGTTTTTTAATATCTGGGATAATGTCATCTGAGAGGCTTATTTGTGCCACCTTTGAAATCTTTTGCTCTTTTTGAATATCAGCAAAATAAGTCCACTGAATTCTACAAAGTAAATCTACAAAGTAAATTCTAGAAAGTAAAATCCTTCAGAGTCCTTCCCTTTTTGAAAAAAAAAAAATTTATTTGTTACTCTATTTTTGCATGGCCCTTTTCAGTTTAGAAACGCATGTGTTCCATTTTTAATGGAAGAGAAACATGAAGCCCTAGGCATGGCAAGATCTGCCCACAGTCACATACACTAGGCCTTGAACCTAAGCCTCGAGGCCCCAGCCCCAGAGCTCTTTTCATCACACCAGGGTTTGAGTGCAGGGGCATTTCCCGCCAGTGGTCACAATGGAGGTTTCACTAAACAGCATCTAGTCACCCAGTAAGAACAATGGCCCCTCCTCACCTCCACCGGTCCCTGAGACCTCTCTCAGGTAGGCCAGCTGGAGAGGGTACAGAACTCTGACAGTACCCTGAGGATCAGCCACCATTCATAACAAGGGGAGCCTCGGGATGCCTGGGTGGCTCAGTCGGTTGGGTGTCTGCCTTCGGCTCAGGTCATGATCCCAGGGTGCTGGGATCGAGCCCCACATCGGGCTCCCTGCTCAGCGGGGAGCCTGCTTCTCCCTCTGCCTGCAGCTCTGCTTGCTTGTGCTTTTTCTCTCTCTGACAAATAAACAAACAAACAAACAAATAAAAACAAGGGGCGCCTCTGTCAGGCAGTGGTATTTAACAAAAATGCGGTAGCCTTGGTTTACTGTTAGTGTTTTGACAGAAGGGTTATTTTCTATTTGTGACATAGGATACTGGTTTTCGAGAATAATCTTATTTAAGTTAAAAAAATGACTTGCTTTCAAAAACAGACAAATAATGCTCACTTTGGACATGGATATGGCAAAAGGCATGAGGTCCTACATGAATAATTAACATTTGGGAAGCACCGTCCTGTTCCGTCTATAGGTGAAGCCCTGGAGACTGTGTGGCAAGTTTCAGAGTCTCCAGATTTTTATTTTCTGGAGATTCCAGCAGTAGCTGTGATCTTACCATCTGGAGGGGAAGGGGAAAGAAAGATTCTACTAGCAATGAGTGGAACCCTTGGTGGATATACCTCTGTTGGGAATATGCAGTGGCTCTCTTTTGAGCACCACACAGTTATTCCTAATTTTCACATGTTATCACAAAGAGAGAATCTTTGGGTTGTTCCATTTCAGTGTGGATGAGCAAAACAAGCAGGCATATGGCCATAATTTGGCTGACTGGCCATATAGTTCCCCCTTTGACTCCCACATTACCCCTACCCCAGTGCTGCCTTTAACTGGCGACAGCTAGCCAGGCCCCGCTTCTCCTCGGGGCTCTGTCATATGTGGGTGGCAGGGTAGGGTAGGCTAGCCATCTGTTATTTTGCCCTCTGTTCCCAATCTTCTTGCCCATAGAAACCGGTTCCGTTGAAGTGACTGGCCCGCATCCAGGGGGTGGGGAGCCGGGTGAGTTTATCTCAGCTCCACGCATTTCTGCTGTCTTTAGCATCAATGGCAACTTCGTAATTTTTTGTGAATGCCCCATTTACAGGGCATTACCTTTATACGTGTGAATCTTGTGAGGCAAAATGGATTTCATGTACAGATTCTGGCCCTAGCTTATTAAAGGATTCAGTTCACAATTCTCACAAACTTGTCCCAGAAAAGCATTTTTTGAAAGTCAAAACTCTAAATTCCAGTGGTGAAAATGGCTTATATTTAAGTAATATGCCAAAGATTTTTAAAAATCGACAGGGTTCAAAGCTTAGTTCCTCATCTCAACAGATGGAATTAGCACACACTTAACAAAGTTAACAACATGGGTGTTTGCATTATTAATCTTCAGATGCATGGCATTCTGCTACCTTGCTGGCCAGGTTTGCACGAATCCTTTCACTGCGGGATATGTCAACAGAAATGTGCTCCCATCTGCTGCTGGGTAGCTTGATGCCTGATATTCCAAGACAAGGCCCAGCACAATGCGTACCTCTGTGAGTAATTACAGGTGTGTGGTGAGGAGCCCAGGGCATTAATCAGAGGCTTAATTATGAAAAAGGTGGATCTTTTGTTCCACTCTTGGAGCATGAGTTTACTACACACTTTCTAAACTGCAGCATCCATCTGCTGAGCCCCTTAGAATGTTTACTTTGGCTGATATGGACCCTAAAGTGTATCAAAGGACGTGATTAAAGCGGGGTTAAACATTAACTTGGGAGAAGTGTGGGTCAGGTTTTTGTTTCCTTCCTTCCTTCCTTTATCTGTCTGTCTACTTATCTATTTATTTTTGTTATAGGACAAATTCTGCTGAAATGCTAAAACTTTAAATTAGTACTTGCTAAACTATTGACCATATCTGAACTCTAAAAGAGTAAGCATTGTACAGTCATTTTAAGGATATAAACAGCACAATTTGTAGAAACTAAATGAATCCACTGTGTAAGGAAAAAAATAAGTCTTGGGAAAAAAATGTATTGTGAACACATAAAAATTATCTTTCAAGATTACAAGTTGTGAAATGAGGTTATTTTTGTCACGAAGGACTTATGTTAGAATTTAGCATGTTGCTACTACTTTGCTCTAACTTAATGAAATTAAATCCTGGATTATTTTAAAGGGCTTCTTAAATAGCCGCACTGGGGATGCCTGGGTGGCTCAGTTAGTTAAATAGCCGCACTGAAATCTGAGAAAAGAAACCAGACTTTTTTTCGTATTTTGCTTCTTACTTGTATTTTGAGACTAACTATAGGTTGAATAACTACAAGACACATAAAGTCTAGTACTTCAGTATGTTTGATGAATGTGCATGGCCTAGAACTGCATAGAAGAAGTTTGTGGTGCTCTGACTAATCCCCCCCACACACACACTTGCACAGATGGCTACGGAGATGTGTCCTGGCTGTGGGTGGCACAAACGCTGTCCAGTAGTGGAGCCCTGCTTTGCCCCAGGCTGGGACGTGGTGGCTGCCTCACAGCAGAGCTGGCAGCCAGGGGCCGGCCTGCCCCCCACCAAGGACAGGCCATTGCAGACACAGCAACACCAGGTGTCTGGGCAGTTGGTGGTCTTCGTGCTGCACCCCGTGTAAAAGGCAACTGCTGTATTTGCACTTTGACCTCATGATCACACTTGTACCCAGAGCCACGCCAACTCCCTGAACTTAGACTCTGACCACACTCCATTCATTCCCATTGTTTAACACAGAGAGTTATCCAAAGAGTGAAAATTTCCAGGTCTTTGCCTACTTGAAGACTTTTTAATGTAATAGTGTGCTTTAACTTTTGAAAATGGAAGAATTCTGGAAGTGATAGTTGTTTGCAGGTTTTATTTGTATATCTACCTCGACACTCCTGTAGCTTGTCCAAAGAGCTCACCTTAAGGTGGAAGACAGAAGGAGTGGCTAGTCCCAATGCCATGACTTAGATTTTGTCATCTTACAACTTAGTGTCTGTTCTCTTACCTGTAAAATGGGTACAGTAGGCCTTGGACCAACTCATCTCCCAGTACCCCTTTTACTGAAAAATTTCTGTGACCTGTGTTCTCTCAGATTATCACACAGTGGCCATATGTACCAATGAGCTGACGACTTTGGAATTTTGTTGTTGAAAATTACAGTTGTGTTTTCTTATCTTCCCTTTTAGGATATCTTAAACACCATTATAAGGCACTGTCCACCCCGCTTCTTCTCCCTGGGTTTGCCTGGCTTCTCAATGCTGGTGGGGGACTTCATCACGGCCGCTGCCAGGGTCCTCAGTACAGACACGCCGGCGGTGAGTATGACAATGCTCAGCATCCAAACTCCCAGGAGGCTTCACAATCGCTAACAAGGTTCAGATTTCTCCACTCTTAACAGGTGTTGACTCATTAGTGCAATGTGAAACTGGGCTCTCGGGTAGATGCCCTGGCAGCTGATGTGTGAAATTGTAGGATAAGATGACACACTGGTATTGGGAAGGCGTTTCATCAAAAGGCCAGAGTGTGAAAAATCATATCCTCACTAATATTTCAGCACATTTACACAGTCAGAAGCAGGACTTATCTCTTAAGAGTCTATTAGCATTTTCCACTAAATGGTGGCACAGAGGAGATGTCTTAGTAAAGACAGAATTTTAAGTGTACATTACCAATAATTTTTTAAATTGTTATCTTGCTTATTATAAGTCTAATAGAAAATATTTTTAAAAAAATGTTAGAAATGTTAGAACACTTAAATTTTAAGCAGATAATGAATATATATTATTAATGTGCAATAAAACTCTGACAAAATTCTTGTACTAAAAAACTAGAATCAAGTAGACCTAAGTGTGAACATTCAGGGCTGCAAAAAGAAATTATTTGCAATCTCTTCATTTACCTCCACTATTAGGGCAATGTGTTAATAATGCCTTTTGAGAGAACACTCTTCTACATTTCAATTTAAAGGGCCTCTCACTTTTGTGCTCTATACAACTGTTACCTGTTCAGACTCATTGTTTTCCTCTACAAATGGTGTGAATGAAATTAGCTTTATTGTTTGCCAGGGACTTGTATTGAAATCAATATGAGCATCTAGCTATGTAAATTTTATTTGGTATATTGTTACTTTTTCACCCTACTTATTTCTCCTGTGCAGGGTAAATTCAAACTCCAACCCTGGATTTTAAATTAAGTTGTTTTTTAATACTTTATGTAGCTGGTATTTCACACTGGTATTTTCATGTGCTAACTTCTTATAAGGATAAAGTAAAAAGCAAAGAGAAGGGAAAAGAGACAGGAGCAAAAGGGAAGGATGAAAGAAAAGAAAGGTAGAAGAAAAAAAGGAAGAAAAATATTGGGTTTGTTCAACTTTTTTTGTGAGGAATATGACAAATTTTTATGCTTCTTTATATCTGAAAAAGATTTTAGGATAATCATTCTCAAAGAACCTTCAAATCTGGGGCACCTGGGTGGCTCAGTCGTTCAGCATCTGCCTTCGGCTCAGGTCATGATTCCAGGGTCCTGGGATCGAGCCCCGCATCGGGCTCCCTGCTCCGCGGGAAGCCTGCTTCTCCCTCTCCCTCTCCCTCTCCCCCTGCTTGTATTCCCTCTCTCGCTGTGTCTCTCTCTGTCAAATAAATAAATAAAATCTAATTAAAAAAAAGAACCTTCAAATTTATTTTTAAACATTTAGATCAACACTGAAGAAGCTCACAGGGCACAGGTAGGAAAATCATACTTCTTTATTGACGATTTCCTTACTTGCTATTAGAATTTCCTGTAAAAATGCTGGCACCCTCTCTAGAGATAATCATGCATGGTGGTCATTCTTGGTGAAAATTTATCTCTTGGCTAGATAAGCTGTTAAAGTAGCTTCCCCAATTTTTTTTTTCAAGAAAGAGAACATGCGGTCATGTGGAAGTGAGAGTTATATGAAGGAACAGTAACTCTGAATTACTTTGAATTTCTCTCTTAGTTTAAACTTGAGGTTTAAAGTTGTAGGGGAACAGGTGAGAGGTGTTTGGATGGGGCACACCTACTCACTCGGAATTTTTGGTTAACACAAGTCAATTACAAGTTTGAAGTACCCCTGCTATGCAGATCTGCCCCACTGAGGCAACTGGGGAAAGACATGTACATGCACGGGTCCCCAAGAGATAGGCAGGAGCTTGTGCTCAGTAAACGTCCTTTGTAGGAGCCGAAAACTACAACTAATCCAAATGTCCGTCACCAACGGGACAGATACAGTGTGCACATAAGATAGCGTGTTACTTACAATCCCCTTCTCATGCTAGACCCTGGAGCTCTGTGTGGTCAGACCTGGGTTCCATCCCAGTGTTGCTTTGTACTGTACTGGTTCTCTACCCTAGACAATATGCTTAGGTACACAGGCCTCATTCTCCTCTGTGGAAATTGGGACTCACCCAGGCTCAGTGCTTAGGCCAAAAAATTACTTAGATTTACCACATTCATTGAATAAAGCTGTGTAACAATTCCTTATTTTATTTAAGCTCTAATGTTTTATATCTGATTATTACATAGTCTAGCATGCAATCTAAAAGTCCACAGCTCAGGGGCGCCTGGGTAGCTCAGTTGGTTAAGTGTCCGACTCTTGGTTTTGGCTCAGGTCGTGATCTCAGGGTCATGGAATTGAGCCCCACATCAGGCTCCACACTCAGCCTGGAGTCCGCTTGGCCCTGCCCCTCCACCTATGCCCCCCCCCTTGTAAATAAATAAAATCTTAAAATAATCTTTAAAAATTAAAGTCCACAGTTCAAGCCAGGCTCAATAATTAAGGCCACTCAGGGAAAGGAATCTATGAAGTCTAAACCAAGATTGGTGGATAAAGGGCAGCAATTAGAGAGGACTGACAAAGCAAGCCTGTTTGAGAAACATTTACTGTGGATCCACTACATGCTGGGACCTGGCCTGGATGAGTATGACAGGGCCCCTACCCTGAAGGAATCAGCTGGGTAAACTCAGTGTTAGTATCTGTGCATAAGTTTCTAGCAGCCATAGTAGAATCACATCCAGACCCCAGAGGGATGGCAACAGAGGAATAGTTCATTCTGCTTTGTGAGAGGTGGAGGGGAAGAAGACCTACATTAGAAAAGTCTTCCTGGGAGAAGTGATGCTGAAGCAGAGACCTGAAAGGCCATCGGTGTTCGTCAGCAGCCACCCCTTATCTTGAGATACTTTTTGAGCACCTACTGGGGTAGAGAAGTGGTGAAAACCATATAACCCTGTCTTCATTGGGGTTACAAACACAAAATGACTATATAACACATCAGAAAGTGATGTATGCAAAGAAAAAACCCAAAGCAGTGATGCTAGGGACCACAGAGGTGGAATGACGTAATGTCTTGAATTCACTTTAAAATATTGAAAGTGGAAACTTCTTAGTGAATTTTAAATATTGAAATGAAAAAAAATGAAACAGATACAGATGAGGCAAGAGTGGTAAAATCTTGAATCTAGGTGTTGGGTAGTTAGGCGTAACACTCTTTCTCCCTTTTTATTTAAAGATCTCCTTAACATAAAAATAAAGGAAAAGAAAGGCAGCAAATGAGGGGACAGACTGATGGAGGTGGGGTAGAAGGACAGGACTCTGGTCAGGTGGAGCTCGTCAGTGTGAGATGCCTCTCGGCCCCTGAGGGGGCACGACATACAAACCTGGACTTCAGGGGGTACTTCAGGGGAGGCAGTCTGGTATAGAGAGAAATGTTGGGGAATCCAGCATGTAGGAGGCATTGAAATCATGGGTTGGATATCCTTTGGGAGTGAGTATAGATCTGAGAGACAAGAGGGCACAGGACCACACTCAGCATCACAGAGTTTGGATCCTGAGGAAATGAGGCATTCCATTCCATGAGACTGTCAGATCGCCTTAGGGCCAAATGGTGAAAGTGTTCCCAGGCCCAAGGGAGCCTGCGTCCTACACTGGCCAGGGGTCAGGTGAGGAAAGGCCTGGGTGGTGACCACAGGGCTTTGTGTGGTAGAGGTCACATAACAAGAAACCATATTCACTGACCAACTTTGGCAAGTCTTAACATTTTCATTTTGCCCCAGTGGTTTCAAGTCTTTGTATTTTAAAAAAATGAAATAAACCATTAAAGATATAGCGCCTTCATGCCTGATGCCATGGCCATGGCTACAGTCAGAGCTGCCCTGGGCTTCAGTGAGCACCTGACGCTCTGCTCTCACTGAGAGCGTCCACCCCACACTCCTGCTCCGTTCTGATGGCACCACTCCTCGGGTGCAATGAGACGGGCACTGTGCCACGTGGCTTGGGGGTCGCTACCTGGGAACCCCAGTGCTTTTCTCAGACTCTGCCCCCTGGAGCTCCCCCAATCCCTGCAGCACACCCGCATGGCCTCTGGGCTCTGTGCACCTGGGCCTTTTACAGGTCCACAGGTGCCCTGGATCTTCTGCCTTTTCCATTCCCACTGCCTGCACTGGCCTCTTGCCCCTCACCTCGCTCCCTCACTCTGCCGGCCTGGTTGGCTCCCCGCAGCACCATGTGACTTCTAGCAGCAGTTTGTCTTCGTGTCCCTAACTGTCCTAAGCAGGACAAATCATTGCCACATTTTGGGTTCCAGAGGATATCTGTGTGTTTTATATTGTCCTTTGGACCTGTGTGCTGATGAGAACGAAGTGAAATAAAACATGAATGTTCTGGGCTCCCATGATATCCCCGCTATCTGGTTCTCATAGCTGTATCACTGCTATTTGCCTCTTCTCCCACACCCCACATGCCACACCACCATCTCTCTGGGGGAGGGAGACTCACTTTCATTTCATACTCCCAAGTGCTTAACAAAATAGGCCCAGTGTGGACCCTGGAGTTAGATGGCCTTGGTGCAAATCAGAGTCTGTCACTTAACAAGCCACTTAATTTCTCTGAGCCTCAGTTTCCTCACTTGTAATGTGGAAATGATAATAGTATCTACTTCATTGGATTGTTGAGGGTATTCCATGAGGAAATGCTTGGACAGCATTTAGAACAGTGCCTAGCACCGTAAGTGTTAGCTGCTATTGTTATAATTATTAGATAATAGTAGAGAGACAGAAGGGTAGATGGACAGGTGGGTAGATGGGCTAATGGCATACCTTTGTAATCCTGGTGCCTGCCCCATTCTCGGCTAATCATAGCTGCTAGTAAGTGTTGGCTAGATTGAAATCTAGTGAAGTGTCTCCTTTAATAGATACCTAATTCCAATAATGGACAAATAAGTGATTCTGTATCTCACTAGATATCAGACACTACATGTTATTTTGCGAAGTATTCTTGATGAGACAGGAAATTTGGTAGATGGTGTCTGCTCTCTTTCTCTGCCTTCTGAAATTCAACCTCAACCCCTCTTCCTTACAAATTTTTTTAACTGTCTTCAAGCAAAAATAATATTAAGTTGATACCACTTACCCTTCTTTGTTAAGAACATTAAGACTAAAAAAATAAAAATAAAAGGTAAAAGTCATGATTGAGTCATTTGCTCTTCTGACTCTGAAGGCATCTGAAGACCAGTTTTCACAGTGCTTTTTTATACAAGTATAGTGATAATTTACATTCCTGGGAAATTTGCTTTTTCATTTACGCAAACCTCTCTTGCTTAAATATTCATTCACCTGGAGAAAAATAACCTGGCATAGTTTGATACTTCTAATCTAGGATAAAATAATTGTAAAGATTCCCTCTCAAAATCATGAAAAAGTAAAGCATGTTGCTTATGTAAAGTTTCTGGCTTAGAAGAAGAAAAATAGGTGTTTTCACTTTTTCGTGTGCAGACACCTCATTCAGAAGCTCTCACCATTCTCGGTTCTCTTGTCTGCTTTCCAAATACCTACCGGGACATCCCTTTACTGCAGTCTGTGCCAGAAGTCAAGAAAGTCATCACAGGAACTGAAGATGTCAAGGTACCGCATGCGTTTGATTGAACCTCAAGTTTAGCATTTTATAATTCTAGCTATGTGGTCCTCTCTTCCATTATCATAATCTACTTATCCCTGAAAGTTCTGCTTTATTGTTTAAATCTTTCGGTAGTTATTGTTGTTGTTATTTTTTCCAGAAGGCTCTTTTAGGGGGATTAAACATATTAGATTCAGAGCATATGGCAGTTATAACTGATAGGCTCCTTGGGTGTTTTTTATTAGACCTGTTTATCATGCCTATGGATTATAATTATGTAGTGAATCATCCTTTGTAATAATTTTAGGTTTAATTGTGTCGCATAGTGCATCAAATGAGTTTGTAAGAAATAATTAAAGTTAGCCAAATATTCAGTCCCATTGTTAGCCTGATTAAATACTACTAATAATTTGAGATGTCAAGTTATTAATTCCTTAGAGAATAAAAGTAAGCATTTGTTCTCCCCTTAGCTGACTTTGGGGCAAACAAAAATGTTTTTCAGATCTCAGAATCAATCTATCTAATTATGGTACATAATTATAATATATAATTTAACATACAATATATAATCTAATTGAAGTAAAAGAAAACTGAGCTTTTCCTATCTGAAGTCTCAATGGCTTTGCTAGGCTGGCTTACTTGCCCAGGGAGGCCCTGGCTGAGACAACCACCAGCCTGCTCCCCCAAAACCCTGTGTCTCCTTCCCCTCAGGTTCTCCCTGTTGGGAGCCTCTCCAGAGCTCCCTGGTCCTTCAGTATCTCCTGACTGCCTGGAACACAGTCAGACCATGTGGGAAACCAACTACTAAACAAAGTTTTTATTTTACTTAATTTTGTGTTTTTAGCATTACCTCATAAATATTTTACTGAAGAATGCCACAGAGGAACCAAATGAATGTGCAAGGTAAATGTTGACTAAAAGGTAAATTATTTTAGGATTTTGAGATACAAACTTATATGTAAACAGTTAATGTTAAAAAAACAACACTCTTCTGCATTATTCATACACACACTAAAAGGTATAGTAAGAATTATGTCAAGAAAATGCTTTACTTAATTTTTTTAATGTGTGCCACTATTAAGTGAAAACAGTAAGGTACAGAAGATTATAGCATGCTACATTTTGTAGGAGAATAAACAGGATTACGAATATATACCTGTATTCCCTGTTATTTTTTTAATGAAGAAGAAAATGGAAGGATAAACCAAAAACTTATAAAAATGGTATATGTATAGGTTAGTAATTCTCAACCAGAGGTGATTTTGTACCCCAGGAGACAGTTAGCAATGTCTGGAAATATTTTGGTTGCTTCCGCTAGGCATCTGAGGTTGCTAGCGGTCTATTACCAATATAGAGGTTTTCTGAGCCACCTGTATAATGAAAAGTTGCAACCTGTCCTTCCAAGGTAAAGCCCAAAGCTGGGAGCAGTGGTGGAGGGGAACAGCAGTTTCTCATCCTCTGCCTCCAAACTAATAAGCTCAGCTTAGCCTCCTGGCTGCCTCCAAGGAATCAGCTCATGCCCTGCTCTCTCTCTAGCAGCCTACCAGCCATCACTGCCTTATTAGCTCTTTGATGATTTTTAAGGGTTTCTGGGTTGTGGGGGTTCTTTGGGTTTTTTTTTTTTTGGAGGGGGGATTTGTATTTTGACTAACTTCTTCAGTGGTCTTCGGTGGATGGCTTAGTCTACCTTTTCTAGTTTCCCATTACCAGAAGCTATAAATTCATTATCAATTTGTTCATATTAGAGTAACCTTGAATTTTGGGATAAACTCACCTTGGTTTATACAGTACCATGTCTGATTTGACTAACATTTTGTTCAGGAAAGTTGCATTTATATTTATGGCCTGTAATTTTCTTTCCCCATCCTGTTCTTATCAGGCTTGATTCCAGGGTTAGATACTATCACAGAATGACTGAAGTATTGTTTCATTCTCTGTAGTCAGCAAGAATTTTTGTAATATTAGAGTTCATGCTCCTGCGTATTTAGGATTTAGACCTCGATGGTAAAACTATCTAGGTCTAGTCATTTATTTATGAGAGGGTTAACTATTGACTTATTTTCTTCCATGATTTTAGGAATATTAAGGTTTTCTTTTCTTTTTTTTTTTTTTTTTTGTTTACAGCTTAGATAAACTAAACTTGTGTAGAAATTTGTCCATTCCATCTAAGTTTTGAAGTACGCTGGCTATCTTGTGTCTTTCACTCCAAGAGTTATATGCACTTCTTAATCCCTGACCCTATTATATATTCTCTGATTTTTGTCACTAGTCTTGCCAAAGATTTGTCAACTTTGTTAGTCTTTTCAAAGAACATACTTTTGTCTTTGTTCAGCTTCTTTATTCTAATTTGTTTTTATTTTCTACTTTCTGCTCTTTTTTCTTTCTTTCTTCATATTCTTCCATTCCTTTTCTTTTTATCAGCATATTTATTCTGATATAGTAATATAACAGTATACTAACTCAGCGTACTAATTCAGCTTTTCTTCTTTACAAATGTCAACATTTAAGTTCGTATATTTATTTCTAGATGCTACGTCATCTGAGTTCTGTACATTTTGATATGTAATATTTTTCCACTACAGATTTTTTCCTGTTTCCGTTATGATTCCTTCACTGAGTCATGATTTATTTAGAAATATATTTAATTTCTAAACATATAGTTGTTTTTATTTATCTTTTTGCTGCTGATGTCTTAAAGGCATTACAGATCCAATATGTTGCCTGCCAAGTAACAGTCTTTGAAATTGGTGAGATTTGCTCTATGGCCCAGTAGATAGTTTTTGCAAATACCCTGGGTAGGCTTGAAAAGCATGTATATACCATTTCTTCAGTAGTTGGGTGTACTGCTCTAGATGTGTACATTTGATTAATTTTTTTAATCATGTGTTTCAAATATTTTACATCCTTTCTAATTTATTTACCATCTTAATCATTTATTGAGAAAAATTGGTTAAAATCTCCCACTATTATGGTGCATTTATCTATTTTTCCTTGTATATCTGTCAATCTTTGTTGATATATTTTGAAGCTATATTATTAGCTGTATAGAACTATAGAATTATCAAATCTCTATAGAGAATCATATCTCTTAATTTATGTAGTGACCCTATTTACCTCTAAGGATGATTTTTTTTTCTCTTAAAAACCACTTATCTCATATTGATTCAGATATTTGTAAATAATATTTTCCATCCTTTTAAATTTAACCTTTCTACATACTTCTCTTTAAATGTCTTTGCAAAAATTGTACATTCTTTATTTTATATATTTATCCTGTCTGATCTTGATCTTTTAACTGAATCTTTAGTTCATTTACATTTACTGTAGTTACTGACATATTTGGCTGTATTTCTTTCATTTGCCTTTATATTTTGTTATTTGTCCTTATCAATATTCTCTCATTTTGTCCCTGTTCTTGCCTTCATTTTTCCCCCTCTCCTTTTCTTCCTTCCTTTCTTTGATTCAGATGATTTTTTCCACACTCCATTTATTACCTGTATTTTTGCAGAAGTCATAGACTCTCAGATTTTTTAGAATTTGCCTTAGAAATTTTAGTGTGCATACTTGTCTTACTAATTCTGAATTAGTCTGCCTTTACCCTTTTCCTGAACAATGCCAGTTCCTTAGAATATAATCTTCTGATTTTATTCCTTTGTCACCACGGCTGCTCCTGTTCTGTTTCTCTCCTCCACATAACCTCTGAGTGTTAGAGTGACTCGAGGTTTAGGGCTGGTCCTCTTCTCTATCTCTGACTCTCCTAGGTGCTCTTATTCATGCTAACCAGACTTTAAATACCACTGAATTTATGATACTGATGATACTGAATTTATTTGCCTGGCCTCTTCTGTGAACCCCCTATATATTCAGGCTTGTGTATTAAGCTTTCTACTTTATATCTCAGCTTGGATATCTTAACACATACAAAATTAACACAACCACAGCTGAACCCTTGTCTCCTGACCACCCCTCAGACTCCATCTCAGTAAAGGGCACCACCATCATCTACCCAGATTTTTAACCCAGAAACTTGGGGAAAATCCTTGATTTCTCCTTTTCACTTACCTGTCACATTCAAACCTTTAACATGTCTTGGCAATACCTTCCCCCTCCTCTTTTTCTTTACTGTAGAAAGCCAAATTTCTGTGGAGTGAAAAATAGAATAGAAATGTGTATGGTATGCTCTGTCTTTATCAGCTGTATATAAAACATGGAGTTAGACAATGAAATTGAGGTCATGCAAGTGCAGATAAGCAGAAATATGACCAAGATTTCAAATAAATGGAGGATAATTATGAGAGAAGATAGTTAAAATTATGAGTGATAATGTAGAAAAGTCAAGAAAAAATAGTAAGTTTCTGTTACATAAACTGGAGTGGTGTGAGATGGCAGAGTAGCAAACAGTCTCCAGAGAGTGGGTTGGCATACAAAGGAGAATGAAGGTGGTCCTGCCATTAGCTTAAAAAAAAGTCTTGGGAGACAGAACCCATTTGGGATCACAAAGGACACATTTGGGATACAGGGAACTTAACTGACAGAAACTCAAAGCCAAAAGGAATACCTGAGAGTACCAGAATAGGAAGATGCTAAATGGGAATGCTAAATGATAAATTTCAAAGAGAGAAAATAGCATTGAAGAGCTGCGATAAGCTAGTGTGGCTTTAAAACTCGAGGCAGGTGAGAGTAGTTCACATTATGAAACCATTTTATGGGTCACAAATGTTCTCTGCTGTGCAAGGCTAATAGTTACAGAGTAATGCAGGTGTTTCTAAGAAATGAGAGATCTTTGCTCTTAATGAATTACATTTAACAGATAGGTTAATGGGTTGTAAAAAAAAAAAAAGTGTGTGTATTAATACACAGAGAGAGAGAGAGAGAGAGACATGCAAGCCTGCAAAGGAAGAGAGGCTCTTAAAGTGGTAAAAATACGATTTGGGGTATAACTCCAAGTTACATAGATTTTAGTGGGTTGAACAATCAGAGTCTCAGTTAAGCTGGGGCAAGATAAAGAGGCAAATAGAATACATGACAGAGAGTGCAGTTTCTGGACTGAGAATCAGTATAGAAATCAGGCAAGAGGAGACAGTTCTATACAGTAAGGAAAGCTGAGGGTTTGAACTGTGTGGAACTCCTGTATAATGCTGGCGTTGGAGAATCCAGAAAGAGCAGGCACACCTTATAAACTGGGCTGCATGCTTATCCTGAGTGCATTTTGGCAGAAGGTCACGTAGTCTCCAAAGAGCTTTTAATAAATGTGTTCTGAAGCACTTTATCTATCCTAATTTAAAGAGGTGAGAATCCAGTTCAACATGGTGGTTTTAAAACCTCAAAATATATTTATTTTAATAGCTGAATTATACTGAATACAAAGAACTTGCACTGTGGAGAGCAGTATGTTCAGTTTAATTGGCACTGGTAATGTGTCCTCTTCTTACAAAGAACAACATATACATACACAGCTAATGTCTGGTTTCGAGTAGTGGCTTGAAAACCCCTTTTGTTCTGAAAGTGAGCAGGTTTGGGAGCAAGTATTTTAATTTTATACTTGGGCATTCAGAAAAGATTAACAGGAATATGACTTTTTGATCATTGCAAAAGATTAGAATATATCAATTTCAAAGATAATCACCACTTAAAATTGATTTATAATTGAAAAAGGTAATTTTTAAAGGACTGTGCAACTTGAAGAAGGCTTTGTCCTAACACATTGTTTAAAAGCAGTAACAGTGCAGCTGATTCTGAAAGTTGTATTCCAATATTTTTTACAATGAAATGTGGGGTTTGTCTTCTGTTTGTAGTAGGTGTTGTATATTTAATTGTAAGAAAAGCAATTACAAACTCGATTTCCAACCGTTTTCTAAGATTCATGTTTTTGATTCTTCCTCAAAACTCTCTTGAAGCAATACAACGTAATTTAAAGCGTCAGCAAAAATAGCTGATTTGTGCTCTGTGACTATGAACAGGATATAGACCACTTATTTCATTAACTATTTAATTACTAACCAATATCACTATTTCTATTTGTCCTGAAAACTGAACTATTGAGGGTACCTTATCTTTTTCCTCAGGAAGACATTCTGTTAACATACCTATAATTTTGGCCACTTTGTAAAAAAGATTTAAAATACTTTGTCACTTGAAAATACCAAGAAAATATATTAAATTTTTTGAGAGTTTCCCTCCTTTTCCTTCTTTTTCAAAAGATGCATTGCCATTTGCTCCCTCGGGGTCTGGATATGCGAAGAACTGGCACAGTGTACAAGCCATCCTCAGCTGAAAGAGGCCATCAATGTGATAGGCGTCACTTTGAAGGTATTACCAATCCGTGATGTGTATTTGACAGTAAGCTGGATCCCAGATAGTCAACCAGTTCTAGTTTGAATTAGCCCATCGTTATTTTCCTGTACGTGAGAGATTTTGAATCAAAAATTGTTTTTCTGAGAGCCATGCTGAACGTTCTGTGAGGCTCCCAAGAGAGGCCACCAACAGCTGCTTCCCCACTGGTGGCTGCAACCTGGCCATCCATAGCCTGAATGTTCTTGGACCAAGCCCTGCGGCTGAACAGGGTTCCTCTGGTAGCTGGGCACTCCCTGTGGCAGGCAGCACAACTGTCATCTGCTGGTAATAGTGACAGGAAGCTGGGATTTCATGCCCTGGCCTCTTCAGTGGAACTGGGAGAGACCTGACAGCTCCTGGTTAGCGGTCCTGAGTGCTCACTGTCTGACTGGGTCTCGGCACTTTTAGGATGGCTTTCTTCCTTTGCTTTGTTAAGGAAAAGAAGAGCTGCCATTCACTGGGCAGTCACGCTGGGCTGGGTTCATGGTAGAGTCTCTATAACCTTCACAACAGCAGCTCTGCAAGGTAGATAGTACCATCCCTATGTCACACCAGAGGAAAGCAAGGCACAGAGGAATCAGGTCATGAGCCCATAGCCATGCAGGGATGAGCGATGGCCCCAAGAGCAGATCTGTGTAACATGAAAAACAAAACCTTTGTACATACTCTTAGGCCACTTCCTAAATCAGAGCCCAAATCCTGCCAGGTCCTTTTCTGGCTCCTGCTTACAAACGGTGGTAATAATTAGCACTGCTGTCATTACACCCCCAGAACCAGTGAGTGCCCAGTCCCTGCCAGGCACTGTGCTGGGAGTTTGTGGAAGTTCTCAGCTGTGAGACAGTTGTCCCATTTTACAGGGAGGAACTGAGGTGCAGGAGAGCTAAGGGGCTCATTCCAGGCTCTGGAGCCTGGCCAAGCCGAAGTTCAAACCCTGAACTGTCTGATAGCAGCGCCCAGGCTCAGGCCTGCCCTTCTTTACTGCTCGTCATGTGCTGCTGTAGTAGTAACCGCCACTGTGGCTGACACTGGGACAGTCATCACCAGCCCATTGACAGCCCCTGTGTCACCCTTTGTGATTCAGCCCACAGGATAACCAGCCGGGGGCATCCCCTGCCCATGGCTTGGTCTAGCCCCTGCCTGCTTTTCAACCTCATTTCATGGCAGCCTCCTCACCCACTCCCCTTCCTGGCCAAGCTTGATGCCCTCTGACCACCCGCCTCTGTCACCCCGTCCTGCTGTTCTCTCCTCCTCCACACCTGGGCGTGCCGGTTCTATCATGAGCTGGAGAAACACTTGTTGCTGATCCCTCTGGCGAGGATTGGAAAATTGATCGAACCAGGATCAATTAGGAGTGCTCCCTCTGGCCTGAGCAGGGTGCTGACCTTTGTGGTTGCCTTTAATCCTTAGAACCCCCCTATGAGGTGAAGGGTTACTGCCACCTCCGTTTCACAGTTGTGGAAAATGAGCTGACTGGGAAGTAAAGAGTTGGCCAGGGTCAAACCCAGGACACCCTGACCCCTTGTCTGGGCTTTTGCACAACTGCAAAAGCCATGGTGAAATATTCACATGTAACTATACTGAAAAAAAAGTTGGATAGCAATTGTATATCTATGCAGAGCCTAATTTTTTTAGTATCCTATTTTCTCAATTCTAAGATCTGTTTTTCAAATGTTGAGTGTAGTGTGGCTTCCCCACCTCTACCCCTTTCCTGGAAAAGCTGTTAATAATTCAGTGGTGTCTGAGAATGAAGGAGATATGTGGAAATATCTATATAGCTATCCTTCTACCCTATGTGGTTCTATGTCGTACAGAAGAGAGATGGAAATTGATAACAAAAGTAGAAGGATATGAGGGCTTACATTTTGTCATTGTAGTTTTCCACATTTTCAGAAATTTCTTTACTTTTTCTATAATGATGAGGAAAAACATAACGCACCAGAAAAAGAATGCATGGAGCCTGGACTCTGTCAGGGGCATCCCAACACAGTGCAAGGACTGTCCCATGGAAGCCCCCCGCCCCTGTAGGTGCTCTGGCTCCCCCCATTTTAGAGGTAAGAGAGAAGGCAACTGAAGAAGGCCAAGGAACTCACTCCAGCTTGAATTGCAAAGAAATCAGAGGGCCAAGGTCGGCCAAATCAGCCTCCCGTTAACCATTAGGAATAGCAGAGGAAAACTCATGGATGTAATTCCTGGGACAGCTCCCTGCCTGACTCCCTCTGATGTCTGTGTTCCTGTGTCAGTTGGTACTTTTACTGAAGGAGGTGGCACATAAATCTCAAAGAACTGAGGGCCTAGCAGGGAGAGTGTTGCCACAGGGAACAACGCTAAGAAGAGGGGAGGCTCAGGGCTCTGCTGGGAGGAGGCTCCAGCCCCAGCAGCACGGGGAGCATGAGCCCTGGAAGGGCTTTCTGCCTTATGGATTCCACATGGCTCTGGGCACCGCTTTGCTGTGACCCTGCCCTTCAGGAACACTTGACAAGGTTGACTTGGGTGTTTCCTCTGATGTGGGAAGGGCGTGGTCAGACGAGGCTGGAAATGCTCCCCAGGGGGCATCAATGAAAACCAGCCAGCAGCCTCAGCAGTAAATGAGAGCAGTGCACTGCATAGGCACTTTTAGGATGGCTTTCTTCCTTTGCTTTGGAGATTTCCACCCAGCTGGTTGTGTCTGGTGGGGTAGTGTTGTGGGTGGCAAGGATGGCAGGGGAGTGTTCTAAGCCTGAGCTGTAATTACTTAGGTGCCCCATCCAGGATATGGGCCAAGGGCACTAGAGTGTCGCCTTTGGCTCTGGCTCATGTGAGCTGCCCACCTTGCCTCCCAGGCAGCCCAGCCTGAGCCCCTACCCTCAGCCTCACCTGTTGCTCCCTCTCTTACCCCATCATTAACTGTCTCCTCCTCCTTATCCCACCACCATCTTCAGTCATAGAGTCCTGCTGCCCTAGGGCCATCTCTCACCCAGGCTGGCTCCCTCTGCCAATACCTGAGCCTCCAGGTGGTGCCCTTCAACTCCATGGCCCTAGTCTGGCCCCCACAGATCTGTCCTCCAGACTGCCACCAGAGGCATCTGTCCTCACAAGGCCTGACCAAGCCACCCACAGACTAGAATACTTAGCATGGCATTCAGGGACATACACGAACAGGTCCCTGGCTGTTCCCAAGATTGTTAGTCTTTCAGAGTAGGGACTATATCTGCCCTGTTCATCTTGTGCCCTATGCTTTGCTTTGCTTTTTTGGCTTAAACAGCATGGGAGTATATTGGTTCATATTGCTGGAAAATACATGGGTATGGAAGAGTGAGGTTGGTTGATCCAGGAGATTAACAGCATCAACACTGACCTAATTGTCTGACTCTTCTGCTCTGTAGTTCACAGAGATGGCTTCATCTTAGGGTGGGATGCCCACAGGGTTGGAAGAGTATGCCAGTAGGAGTCAGGGTCCTGCATGTCCTTGTTTGGGTTCAGCAGGACTTTCTTCACAGCATTCTAGTAAGGGCTACTGAGATGTATTAGCTGAGGTTTCTCCCTCATCCCTGTGCCAGTGACTGAGGCTGGGAATAAAATCTTCTCATTTATTGCAGCCAGTTAGGGCACATTCCTGGAGCTGGGAGAGGGGACTTGCACCTGGAAAAAGATCTATTAGTTAAAGAGAGAGGGGGTAATTGACACTGGCCAAGCAACTACACACTTAGAGAGCATCCGGGAGCAAGAGACCCTCTCTAGTGGGAAGAAGGTGGCATGTGAGTGCAGAAAGGAATAGTGAGAAGGAGCTAGGCAGTGTCTGGGAAAGGGGCACTCCAGGCAGAAGGAGCACCAAGGACCAAGGCTCTGAGGCGCCCATGAACTGGCATATGTTTGAAGAGCAAGATGTTGGTATATGGGGTGGAGTGTGGTGTCGGGGCAGCGGGGGAGCTGGGGCCTTAGTACTTGTCAGTTTAGCTGAGCCTGGACAGCATTTCCCAGAATTCTTTTCACCGTATGGTTTTTTTGGGGGAGTAGGGTTGATTACTTTTTTTTATTATTATTTGAGTATAGCTGACACACCATGTGATGTTAGTTTCAGGTGTACAACACAAAGTGATGCAACAACCTATCCCTTCTGCCGTGCCTACCACAAGTGCAGCTACCATGTGTCACCATCAGTGCTGGCACATTGTCCTTATTGCATGAATATGTGCTGAGTGAGTGAGTGAGTGAGTGATTTATCCCCCCCCCCCCCCAGCATTCATGTGGGACTAATACCACCCCACTCGCAGCCATCCAGCCCAGCCTGGCCTGCCGCAGGGCCCTGGTGCACGGAGACACTCTCCCTCTGCATTCTTCCAGGCTAAGCTCAGCTCTCCTTCCCCCCAACAACACGTCCTCTCTGCTGTCTGCCCCCTCTCTCACACCTTACCCCTCTGCCCAGAGGCTTGTTGTCTGGTCTACCAGACCTCTCATTTCCTTGTCATCCTCTTGTGTGCTTCCACATTCCAGATGTAAGAGCCATGCCGGCCTTCTGTTTCCACCCCATGACTTGACCACTGTGATGCAGCAGAAACACACTCAATGTTCTTCACTCCCTCAGTTCCATCTTCACCTCAGACTCACCATGTGCTACTCCTCGGGGGGCTGTGCAAGGCATTAAGAATATAATGGTGGGGGTGCCTGGGTGGCTCAGTTGTTGGGCATCTGCCTTCGGCTCGGGTCATGGTCCCAGGGTCCTGGGATCGAGCCCCGCATTGGGCTCCCTGCTCAGCGGGAAGCCTGCTTCTCCCTCTCCCACTCCCCCTGCTTGTGTTCCCTCTCTCGCTGTGTCTCTGTCTGTCAAATAAATAAATAAATCTTTAGAAAAAAAAAAAGAATATAATGGTGAACAAGATGTGGAAAAATTAAACACATGAAAGAATAGGCAGACAAATACAGAAGATCAGCTTGATAGCCCTTAATGCCATAAGGGAACTATAAGAGGGAAACAGGATGAAGCTGAAGAGCTGGAGCAGGTGGGCTGCCACTCCTTCAAATGGGCATGGTGGCCTCAGGGAGGAGACTTTTAGTGCCATGATCTGAAAGATGTGGCAGTGCCAGCAACATGCAGACCTGGGGTATGAGTGTCCCAGGCAAAGCAGGGAGCAAGTGCAAAGGCCCTGGGGCAGAAGCAAGCCAGTATTTGAGGGATTGAAAGAAGCCTATGAGCATCAGGTCATCTGAGGCTTAGAGGCCAGGCTCTGAAGAGCTGCTTGAGCACAGATGCTCTTGCCCTGGGTGTACTTTGTGCCTATCAGGAAGGGGCAGTCAGGAAGTGTTTATCCTATAGAATTCAAATGAATCCCCTTTGCCTTAATTTCTTTGTCCTGTGCATTTACACTGAGATGCTAAATGTTGACTTTTCTGTGTCTATGTGGTCCTAAGGTCAATTGGGATCTGCTTGATAGGACTTGGAGCTCCTGGAGTGGAAAAAACTAAACTACATATCCAGAGGTTTCCCTGGACAGGGGCCCAAAATTGGTGACAAACCTTTCTTCTGTAGATAATGAGGTGTGGATAGCAGAGTAGTCCCAGGTTTTGGCCAGGGAGAGAGGTACAGGGTACCTTCATCTGTTTCATCCACCCCAGCCAGTGGACCTTGTAGGCACCATCCCTCCCCATTGATATGCCATCTCACAAGAAATGGGAGCATCCAGAGGACCTTGGACACACACCCGACTCCAAAAACATACTCAAAGTAATTGGATACACCAGAACATATGACTTATGTTCTTGCAGTAGCCAAAGTTTCACATTTCTTAGTACATTACACATGCAGGTTCAGTTTAATTTTAGAAGATAGAAAGTCACTTGCTCAGTCCCTGTTTCTCCAGGTGTAAAGTGAAGACCACGTCTACCTTGCAGAGCTGCTAATGAAGATTTATCAATGTGAAAATGAGGAAATTCTTGTAAAATGTCCAGCACATAGGGAATACTCAGTAATGGACTACATTTTAATTTCCTCTAATTGTCAAAACTATGATTTGTGTAATCTGCATGAGGCATCTGAAATTATGGTTTTAATTTTTCTATGACTGAACAACAGCTACTTGTTTCTGCAGAACATTACATAAATTAATACAGCTAGTCTGGACAAGAGGCAGTTACAGGATGGCGATCATATACAAACTATCTGGTACCAGGACACATTTTTCAAAAATTGAATGCCAAACAAGAAAATGTATCCCTAAATATCGCTGGAAAGAAATGCCTGTTCTTTTCTTCCTCAGGACAAATGTACGTGTTAAGTTCAGTCCTTTCGTTTGGGGTTTTGTTTCCTTTTATAGTTTTCTAACAAAATCGTGGCTCAAGTGGCCTGTGATGTTCTTCAGTTGCTGGTTTCCTACTGGGAAAAGCTTCAGATGTTTGAAACCTCTCTGCCTCGGAAAATTGCAGAAGTAAGTCTTTTCCTGTAATGCTAAAACATAAGCATTTCCCTCTTACTCTATGCGGTATTTAATGAATTACAGATACTCAAATAATTGTTAGAGAACTGTCTATTACATTGCCATACGAGTCATTCGTTTTAAGAGTAAATAGCACTGGCCCTTCTCAGCTGTGATTTCAGGCACTACGTAAAGAAGCCACCAGTGTTCAGGGCAGAGTCTCACACTTGGGGAGTTTGAAAGGCAGACACGACCACAACAAAGAGACCTTTTGTAGATTGAGCTTCATTCATCGAGAGTAATTTGGATGGTGCCAACAAGGAGTAGGCAGCTGGTTATGATGCCCTCCATGCAGGGGCAGGGAGTGGGGGGAACCGTTGTATGAAACAGGAGTCTTTCCCAGACTGAAGCCCCGGACCACGCTTTCTGCCATAGCGTGATTACCCAGCTGTAATGTGATTACTACTGTAATACCCTTGGGGGGAGAGGGGTGGTGAGGGTAGTTGGTGGCAGAGAAGGACAGAAGGAACAGGAAGAATCATCCCAGTGATGATATCCTGGAGGTCAGTTCCATCTGAGGGTGCTTGCCTGTACAGAAGCGGGTACCCTCCCCTCTGTAGGTGCCTGCGTATAAGGCACACCCATCCCTGCCAGTTTTGAAAGCTACACTTTTTGCAACATGCCCTGTTCTTTACACATCCAGTGGTAACTCTTCAAGGAAATTTGATTTATCTCTGTGTGGTATTACAGGGAGAGAGGAAGTGATACTGATTTATTTTCTCTCAGCCCTAGACGGATTTCACCAGTGAGATCACTTAGTTCTCTAGGTGACCTAGAGTGGAACAGAGCTCTGGACACAGGAATATCAGATGCTGCAAGTTGTAAAGTTGTGTTTTAGGGCAACTGTGTACAGTTGATCCTTGAACAACACGGGTTTGAACGGCATAAGTCCATTTGTATGTGGATTCTTTGGATAAATACAGTAGAGGACTGTAAATGTATTTTCTCTTCCTTATGATTTTCGTAACATTTTCTTTTCTCTAGCTTACTTTATTGTAAGAATACAGCATAGTATACAACTAACATATAAAATATGTGTTGATCAACTGTTTATGTTATTGATGAGGCTTCCAGCCAGTAGTAGGCTATTAGTATTTAAATTTGAGGGAAGTCAGGGGGGTCAACACCCCTAATCCCTGGGTTGTTCAAAGATCAGTTATAGTTTATCATCGAAAGAGGAATACCTTTGAGAATGCAAGGGGTGCTTTTACACCAGGACAACAGATGGAGACCTGAATGGTTTATAAGAAAATCAAATGGGAGCATTTTCATAGTTATTTTTGAAAATAGTTTTTACTTTCATTGTATAAAGTGTAGAGGATGATGATGGGAATTGTGTGACCACAGAGAGAAATGTTCCTTCCTCTGGGGCCCCCAGTTTCAGCACCAGTAGAGTGGAGTGGAGCCTGGGCATGGCTCTATCACTTTCTTCTGATTTTCAGGACCGCAGAGAGCTCTAGAGTGGCTCTCTGCTTTTTGTCACCTTTCTCTAGCGAGTTGGCACCAAGCTGGGTTTAGTGCAAGGCCATCTTGGGACTCTTAGCATATGGTTTCCCAAACTATTGCTATGGTCTGTTTCATTGGGGATTTGTCTTTTATGCAGATCCTTGTGGCCACAATTGCTTTTCTTTTACCAAGTGCAGAGTACTCCTCAGTGGAAACAGATAAAAAGGTAGGCGGCACATCAGCTAAGTTTTTTCCAGAGTTTTTTTTTTTTTTTTTAATGTAAGACAAAATGATAAATAATTTTCTATGTAGGGATATCCTTTATAGTATTCTTCTGTATTGGTCCTAACAGTCTCCCCTGTGAAAACTTTCATTTATTCATTTATTTCTTTTGCATTTGTGTGTCCACTGAATAATTATTATTGTGCAGGGACAGTTCTGTTGTTTGCTATTACATGTAGTGAAGTTTGAAAGATTGCAGTTTATGTTACTGGGCCTGTCTCCTCTTCCAGTTTATTGTGTCCTTGCTACTCTGCCTCTTGGACTGGTGCATGGCATTGCCAGTGAGCACCCTTCTCCGCCCAGTGTCCACGGCAGCCCTGGAGGGGCAGCACTCATCCAGAGCCCCTTTGCTGGACTATATCTATAGGGTGAGTCTCCATTTGGGCCTCAGGGGCGTGGAATATAGACTTCAGCATCAGAGAATTACCAAAATATGTTTTATACATTTACTTATTTATTTGTGCTCTTTTGAAAAGCATATACTAAGGGGCTGAAGCATTTTAAAAGAAGTGAATAATTTAAGTAGTGAAAACAGAGCAGATATTATGGTAGAGAAGCAATGGTTACCAAGTGAAAGAAGCCTGCATTTTCACATGACTTCCATCTTTAAACAGCTACAATTTGACCAGAAAGTCTCTCTCTACTTATTTTTAAAAAGAACTGTTTATATTGTAGGAATATTTATAGCCATAGTTTGACAAAAATCTGCTTATCAAAGGAAGAAAAAGTATAAAGGTCTCAGTAGTCTCTTTGTTTAAAAGATCTTAAGAAATAAATTTTTTTAAGATTTTATTTATTTATTTGAGAGAAAGAGATAGAGATAGCAAGAGAGAGCATAAGCAGGGAGGCAAGGAAGAAGCAGACTCTCCACCGAGCAGGGAGCCCGACTCAGGTTTCCATCCCAGGACCCTGAGCTCATGACCTGAGCCGATGCTTAACCGACTGAGCCACCTAGGCACCCCAAGATCTTAAGAAATAAATTAAGGAAATATATAACATGAAAGTATTTAGTCTCATCATTTTTATCGTACTCAAAATACTTGAATTTCACCCCCTATTGATACATAGGTATGGTGTTTGCTCTGGACTCTGTATTATCCTATATTTGCTTTACAGTCCCTCCTGTGAAAGCTTTATTTATGAATTTAGCACTTGTGTATCCATTGAATAATTACTACTAAGTAGAGACAATTTTGTTTATTTTTTTAGTAACAAATCTTTACTAATAACATTTTTTTTTTAAAGATTTCATTTATTTGAGAGAGAGAGAGTGAGCAAGAGAACACAAGCAGGGGGAACAGTAGAGGCAGAGGGAGAAGCAGGCTCCCCACTGAGTAGGGAGCCCAATGCGGGGCTCGATCCCAGGACCCTAAGATCATGACCTGAGCCGAAGGCAGGCGCTTAACCAACTGAGCCACCCAGGGACCCCTACTAATAACCTTTAAAAAAAAAAAATTCCAGGTCATTAACTTATTACTGTGTTGCCTTGTTTTAAAATGTATCGGATACAAGGGGAAAAGACACTTAACATGGTTGAAATTCTACTAAAAAGTATTGTGTATTTTTAAATGGTTTCTTTAGTGGTCAAAAATTTTAATAACTGTTAGGATTCATTAGATACTTCTGTCATCTTTGTGGCTTATAAAACCTATTTGAGGCCTGACTTGACCAAGTAAAGTAGCCACAGTCATTTAAATTTATCTCTTTTCTGATATTTCTTTTCTTAAAAGATTTCTCTTAAAATTGTTTTACCAATAAAAGAGTCACCTCCTAGTTAACATGATTCACAAATTTATTGAATAACATTATTGTATCTTTAAAGGAAACTTTTTATTAAGTATAATACGCATCCGGAAAAGTGCTTCAGTCATAAGTGAGAGTTTGATGAATTTTCACAAAGTGATCACACCTGTGAAAACAGATCCCAGCTGGAGAAACTGAATAGCCTTGGTATCCCAGAAGCCCCCATCATGCCTCCGTATTAGTCACTATCTCCATGCACACACCTAGGGTAACTGCTAGCCTGTCTAACAGTGTAGATTTTTTTTGTACTTTGTATAGCTGGAATTATGCAGTATGTGCTTCTGGGCTTGGCGTCCTTCACTCAGCATTAGTTCTGAAGGATTCATTCATACTCTTTGAATAGTTGCAGATTTTTCACTTGTTGCTATTTGGTAATACACAATGAGAGTATGCCATGATTTATATCTGTTGTACTGTTGATGGACATTTGGGTAGTAGAGTTTGGGACCATAAAAAGAATATCTGTGAACATTCTGGTGGACCACAGCAGGACTTATGGCAAAATAAGCACTTTTTAACTTGCACTTTCCTTTTGTCTTGAGAATATATTTATTGGCATTGATGTAAAAGGAGCAAAATAAACTTGCAAATAGCAAGATGTTTTAGAATGGAAGGGATTCTATGTTTTCAAGTATTACCTACCTCCTAAGTGTTGTGGTTTGGCAGATTGTCAGGAGACAGGAGGTTCGTCGCATCCACGGCACACATTCCCTTCTGTTTTTCACAGGTTCTGCACTGCTGTGTTTGTGGCTCAAGCACATACACCCAACAGAGTCACTACACACTGACCCTGGCCGACCTGTCCTCCCCGGATTATGATCCTTTCCTGCCACTGGCAAATGTGAAGAATTCGGAGCCAGTCCAGTATCATTCATCAGCAGATTTGGGCAACCTGCTCACAGTTGAAGAGGGTGAGATTCTTCAGAATATTAATTCTCATGGGCAAGAAAAGGAAAGATTGTAGCCTTTTGCCCATGCTTGCTATATTATTTTTAAAAATCTAGTTTCTGGTTTCTAGACTCTTCTGTGATAGCAAATTCTGCCTTCCTTGTTTCTTTTTTTCTCGTTTCTTCACTTCCTCCCTCTTTTTTCCTATCTTAGCTGAATTTTGTATTGAGGACCTATATTTTTCAGACCTGTGAGACCCACAGAAAAAGGCTCATTTCTATCCTAGAGGAACTTTACGTGTAACTGGAGAGACAGGATTAATGCAAGAGGACTCATTTGTGGACCAGTAGCACCATGGGGGCTTCCCTTGGGCAAGGACCTAAGCCAGACTTAGAAGGATGGGCAGACTTTGAAGGATCTCGTGGAGGGTTGCAGACTAGGAGAACATTATAGAAAGGTGGGGATTTACATGCCACAGTTTGAGGATCACTCTGCTGATGGCAGAGGGTCCGTTTTAGAATATATGGGTATCGTCAGGATTAGGAACTGCTGCTGTATGTCTTCCTCAACCTCCCTTCTTCCTGAAAGGATAAGAGCCTATCTCTGGGCCTTGAAATGTGAGTCCAAAGGTAGGTATATCACCTGTACATATGAAATAATTGCATAGAACCAAACACACACACACACATAGTGCATGTGAAATGAGTAAACTCTGAATGTTGATGAATCATATCAAATGTACCATATCATATCAAGATACCAATCAAAATTTCCTGATTGTGATACTGTACTAAAGCTATGCTATGTAAGATATTACCAGGGGGATGAAGGATATTTGGGATCTGTCTGTATTATTTCTTACAAGTGCATGTGAATCTTCTATGTCTCAAAAGTTAAAAAAAAATGTGGGTGTGGAGTGTTGAATCATCCATGAAAATGTTAGACTTAGCAAGTTAAAACCTAGGCCCAAGGGTGGAACCTTGGGAGTAAAAACACGTTAAAGAAAAAGGAATGAGGGGGGCGCCTGGGTGGCTCAGATGGTTAAGCATCTGCCTTTGGCCCAGGTCATGATCCCAGGGTCCTGGGATGATCAAGCCCCACATCGGGCTCCTGGCTCAGCGGGGAGCTTGCTTCTCCCTCTCCCTTTCTCCCTGCTCATGTTCTCTCTCTCTCTCTCTCTCTCTCTGTGTCTCTTTGTCTCAAATGAATAAATAAAATCTTAAAAAAAAAAAAAAGAAAAAGGAATGAGGGAATGTCACCAGGAAAGCAAAGTCAGGGAAATGGAAAAAGAACCCAGAAAGAGTCAGTTCTGAGAAGTCGAGGGAAGAAAGGGAAAAAGAAGCCAAGAAAAGTCAACAGTGCTAGGTGCTTCAAAAACATTACAGAGAGTGGGGCCAAAACAGGAGCTGTTTTGTTTTGTTTCCCAGCTAAGCATTTGGTGGTGAGTTTTGCTGAGTATTTTGGTCATGGAGGTTAGTCTGTAGCCAGAAAGCCTGAGCAGGTGATTTGGGGATGACTGTTCAGACCCCCAAGACATTCTTCTTGTAGGTCCTTTGGTGGACAAAGGAGGGACAGTAACCAGGTGAGGGCACAGAGTCCAGAGCTATGCTTGCAAGACTGCAGAGTCTGGAGTATGGTTTAGGCCGAGAGGAAGAGGACAGGTGAGGTGACGAAGAGGACGGGAGTGGGAGCACCAGTCATTGGCAAAGGCTCTGGAATCGCCCAGTCCAGAAAAGTTTTATAGAAAACCTCAGACCTTATACAAGCTTGTCCTAACATAGTTCTGTGGTACTAAAAATAATTGTACTTCAGAGGCAAAGGAGTTTTAAAATTCACTAACACTTTAAATAAAAAAGCAAAGCAGCTTAAAAATATATTGGCATGCACAGACACTCTTGCTGAGTGGGTACACCCTCTTAAGAATGAGTGGAAAATTAAAGATGATAGCTGAAGTATTCTAGGTTAAACAAAATGTGCTCGTATTTGAGAGTTTTTTTTTCTCATTCAGTGTCATAATTCATCATTCATGACCAAACTATTTTTTCTCACATGTTTCTGGGAAGCAATATTGTATATTTATCTATTATTTTCAAGTGACTCTTTCATTCACTATTACGTACTATTTGATGTAAATACTACTTTGAAATAGTTACAAGCAAGAGACACATTCAGTTACCAACAGCTGAGGTGGCTGCTGGCCCAGCTCAAGGAAAAGCAAATTTCTCATCATTAACAACTAATTGCTTTAAAAAGAAAGGAAGAGGGGAGCTTTAAAAACTGAAAGTTAAAAGACAAACTAAAATCACTGCTTTTCTATTTCATCTCTAAATTTAGTAAAATAAGACAAATATTTGGATTATATTTTTTCATAGTTTGTGGAAGTTATGAGATTGTTTTCTCGTGAATGGAGTCTAGATTTTCTCTTTATTTTTCAGGGAACCACAGGCAGTTGATGCAGCTGAAGTCTGCAAGGAAAAAACAATTTTTACTTCACAAATATTCCCTTTCCCACTTTTCAATACCAAAGATATTTGGAGTTTTTATTGGGTGTGTCACAGTTTATGACTTGATTAGTGTGACTCTAGTTAATCTCCCACTGTAGAATTCAAACACGCTCCTTAAAATACAAATTTGTATGTATCTCAAATTGAAAGCACAACCTATATAAGTTAAAGCAGAGGAAAGTTGCTTTTCCAATTGTAATTGTCTGCGTTGGGCTTTACCAAGTTGGACCTTTGTCATTCGTTCCATAGCCTGCTCCATCGAGTCATCACCACGCGCTGTCTTACACCATAGACTCCTGAACCCCCAGCGGGCCATGCCTGTGTTGTTTGGGGTATTAACATTTCTGACAGAGCGCATATTCATATGGAATGATAAGCATGAATAAAAAGCATCTGTAGCTTTTGAAAAAGTTAATATGGACACAAAAGCAAAGGCATTCATAACTGTGATTTCAAGGGAATTAATTGAGGTGTTTAAATTTCTCAGCTGTATGGAAATCATACACTCTTCTACAAGGGTCAGGAAGGACAGTTGAATGTCAGAGATGGATGTAGATGACCTTTGCTTATGAAAACTCAAGTTTCATGTGAGATTTTATTTTACATTATTGAATACAGTGATTTCTTGTTCACTGAATAGCAAAAATTAAGAAGAAATTCAAGAAAAGTCAGGACGATCCTGTTCATTAGTCATCACCGAGGTTCCTACACTCTAGGAGTTGATTGTTTCTTGCTAGGATTTATACATCATACAATTGATGTTTCATAGATAAGTTCACTGAATTTTTAATGTTTGAGAGGGAAGGTGTTTAGCATCAGAAAGCATAATTTAGAGTTATTTGTGTTTAATTAATATTTGAGTTTTCTGTTGTGAATTTAGAAACCAAGTATTTCCTAAACCTGTAAGCCCAAAGTATAAGTCTTACCTTACTTAAATATCTAGTGATATTTTTTTTAATTAAAAATTCATTTTCACTTGTTCTTGGATTAACACACAGTTCTTTTCTAAATTTGGCAGATTACAATTTCCCTGACCACTCTGAAGCTTAAGTGGTTGTCTCCCTCCATGCTTACAGATTGTTTCTCTGCTTCTCCCTTACCCTGCCAGCATGTCACAGAGCCCACCTTCACCTGCTAGTGTCAGTCTTTCCACACATTTGAAGCCTTAAAAATTTTGTAAGTCAGTTGCTCTTAGGCATTTCATCATCAACTGCAAATTCAGTTAACACCTTCTATTTCCATGAGTTAATTAATATACCAGATTCTCTTGAATATTTAAAATGCCCAAACAACAAAACATAAATTGTCGCAACGATCTTTTTTTACTGTTATGTTAATCACCATACATTACATCATTAGTTTTAGATGTAGTGTTCCATGATTCATTGTTTGTGCATAACACCCAGTGCTCCATGCAGAACATGCCCTCTTTAATACCCATCACCAGGCTAACCCATCCTCCCACCCCTCAGTTTGTTTTTCAGAGTCCATCGTCTCTCATGGTTCGTCTCCCCCTCCGATTTCCCCCCCTTCATTCTTCCCCTCTTCTTCTTTTTTTTTTTTCTTAACATATATTGCATTATTTGTTTCAAAGGTACAGATCTGTGATTCAACAGTCTTGCACAATTCACAGCACTCACCATAGTACATACCCTCCCTGTCACAACGATCTTAAAGAAGATTGCTTCGAATCCATCTGTGATGTTGTAGGCTTGATTCATTTCCTCATCAGCGTCTGCCTTTACCCCGGTGAGGGAAGTGGGGTAACCTCTGTGGCCTGGACCCGCAGCCCACCACCTTTCCCACCAGATCCTCTCCAGCTGCAGGTTCCACCTCCCAGAACACCCTGAACCATCAGCTCTTTCAGGACAGAGAACTTCTCCCGTTTACTGCTGTATCTACAGATTTTTAAGTGTCCCTTTCAGAATGAGATCTTCATGGAAGTTGGTTCTTTTAGCAATCTATTTATTTAATTAATTAATTTATTTATTTATTTTAATTAACATATAATGTATTATTTGTTTCAGGGGTACAGGTCTATGATTCATCAGTCTTACTACACCCAGTGCTCCCCACAACACATACCCTCCCCAATGTCCATCACCCAGCCACCCCATCTCCCCACCCCTCCAGCAACCCTCAGTTTGTTTCCTAAGATTAAGAGTCTCTTACGGTTTGTCTCCCTCTCTTGTTTCACTTTTTCCTCTCTTCGCCTATGATCCTCTGCCTTGTTTCTTAAATTCCACATATCAGATCATATGATAATTGTCTTTCTCTGGTTGACTTATTTCTAGCAATCTATTTAAATTGTACTTTTAATTCAAATAGAATTAGTGTCAAAAAAGAAAATAGATGAAAAAAAATGGCCAGACTAAACCAAATCCAATATTCCAAGTACAGATTTTAAGCTTCCTTCCCCACTGTCTGCTATGTTGCCTTACCCCGGCTCACAGAGCGGAAGAGGAGGAGTTTGGAGCTGATCCCTCTGACCGCCCGCATGGTGATGGCCCACCTGGTGAACCACCTGGGTCACTTCCCGCTGCGTGGGGGCCCCGCCGTGCTGCACAGCCTGGTCAGCGAGAACCATGACAACGTGCACGCCGAGGCCCCAGAACTGTCCTCCGAGGTGTTCCGGAGCCCAAACCTGCAGCTGTTTGTGCTGAATGACAGCACCCTCATCTCCTACCTTCAAACGCCCTCGGAAGGGCCAGCAGGCGCCTCGCGGGGAGGTACCCTGTCAGACGTCAGAGTCATTGTGCGGGATATCTCAGGGAAGTACTCTTGGGATGGGAAGGTTTTGTATGGACCATTGGAAGGCTGCTTAGCACCCAGTGGCAGAAATCCTGCATTTCTGATTTCAGGCTGGCAACCTCAAGCTTTGGGAGCTCAGAAAGATTTTTCTCAAAGTGAGGAGGGAGATGATGTCCTCGACAAATTACTTGAAAACATTGGCCATACAAGTCCTGAATGCCTTTTACCATCACAGCTAAATCTAAATGAGCCCTCCCCACCCCCGCGGGGAATGAACCATGACCAGGAGAGGGAAATCATCGAGGTCATTTTGCGCCAGAATGCCCAAGAAGACGACTACATCCAGAGGTGTAACTCTGACTCGGCCATGAGAGTCACCAGCCAGGAGCAGCCCTCACCAGTAGAGCCACGAGGACCCTTTTATTTCTGCAGGTTGTTGCTCGATGACCTGGGGATGAATTCTTGGGACAGAAGGTAACAGTCCTCTCTAGACCTTCACCTATTTTGTCATTATGTTTGTGTGTGCATTCTTGTCCTCAATTTGGGGTTTGAGAAGCAGAGAATAGAAATGGAGATTTTTCTTTCTGCATTTGCAGCTTATTTTCTACTGTTAAATTAGAGCTACAAGTGAAACTAATTGTGCTGTACTGATGCACAGGTTGAATTTCAGGCATCTCGTATTTTCAAGGGTACCAGACATTTGTGTATGCGTGCATGTGCGCGCGCGTGTGTGTGTTTTAATTACTGCTCTGTCCATAATTGCTTGTGTTGGCACAAAAGATGCAAATGGACTACAAAGATGAATAAGCCACCATCTCACCTTAGGTCTGGTGAAGGAGGTAGACTTGGCACGACTCTGATGAAAGACAGCATGACTCAGGAGTCTGAGAGGAACAATTAATCCAATACGAAGTGTGGGACAGTGATCTGTGGAAGGGGTGGGTTTGAGCTGGGCCCTGACAGTGGAGTGGGGTTTCTAAGGGCAGAAGTAGGGAGAAGGGATTCACAGCAGAGCTAATAGTGAAAAGAGGCACAGGCACACACGTCAGTGAAACACTCTTTCACCTCAGAGCCATCCTGTGTCAGTGGGTAGGGATGGGATGCCGTGGAATTTTGATGCCTTTGAATGTCTTAGGGAGAATGGAGTTCATCTGTGGGCTCAGATCACAAATCTTTCATGAAGGAGGAAGGTTATGGATGGGTACGTGGATGGATGAGTAGGTAGGTTTGTTAATTGATTGATTGGAAATGGCAGAATTGGTCTGTGATTACACAACTTTTCTTCCATCTCTTTTTTTTAATAGAAAAAATTTCCATCTGTTGAAGAAAAATTCAAAACTGTTGAGAGAGCTAAAAAATCTGGACTCCCGTCAGTGGTATGTGAAAGTATATCAGACCACTTCCTTCCTACCTATCATTGTGTGTGCTTGGATGACAGAGCTGCAGGAATGAATACACCTACAGAGACACCCAAAGGTCATTCTGTAACTAGAATCTGGTGACGTCTGCACATGCCATACCTTTGGTGTTTTTCCCCTTGAGGAATAAGCTTACATGCTTGCTACACTAAAAAGAGGTCATTGCTCCCATCTAATCTGTGTCTTTGGTTGAGGACCTTTTCATGTGGCAGCCAGTGGGCATTCATTCTCATTTAATCTCTGTAGCCACCTCTTTCTCCAATGAGGAACAGAGGCTTACCAGGCCCAGACAGCGCTCACATGTGCTCACATGTAACCATTTTGTTTGAACCAAGTGAGTCTGACTTCATAACCCGTGCTCTGTGCCAATGCACTGGCTGTAGTCTCTGCGCTACAATGTGGGCAAGCTTAAAACCAGGGTGTTTCAATTAGTAACTCCCTGGTAGTGAGCCTTCCTCTCAGAGCTGGTCAAATCTCGGGTCCGCCCCTTATCTGTACGACCTTAGAAGCAATTCTCCAGATGAACTCAGGACCAGTTTTTGATTTGGGAAAATGTGTGCTTCCAAAAACATCTCAGGCAACAGTAAGTGTAGTGCTTGGTACATAACAGGTGCTTAAAAGTCTTGAATAAACTGGTTGTTTAATCTTAGTTTAAAAAAAAAACAACTCATTTTCTAAAAAATAGCTTTTTGTTCCTGTTTTATTCCCCAGAGGAATATCATTAGGTATCTCATTACAGATGAAAAACCTGAAGCCATTATTCCTCACATTGCCCTTCATCATATTCAGTTTCCCAATTGTTGTTATGCTTCTTTTTCTCTAGAGGAATAGAGACCAAATTCTTTGTGGAAACTCTGCGAGGAGTTTCTTGTGAAGGACTCAGGGGTTCACTTCTCTCTCCCCTTTGTCCTCCAGTATTAAACAAGCAGTCACTTGGGCTCCAAACTCAGCTTTAAGCATATGCTGAATTACTCCATGCTTCCTAGTATTAAGTGAATACATTGGTATCTTGTAATTGTGGCCAATTTGCTGAGTGTTACTGCACTTTAGTTGCATGAGGTACAATTGAATGAGCTCTCTGGGGTGCTGTTGCAGTAAAACATGGCTTTGGAGAGCTGATCAGCAAATCCTCTGTCCCTTGATTAACCTTTGCTTAAAACCCCAACTCCTGGATTTAGTGTCTTCTTGATATCCAAAAAAAAGGTATCAACTTACTTTATTGTACAGGGTGTTTTCGAGGTTCTTTTTGAAAAAAAAAAAAAAAAGTGGAAATAACTTGGGGACTCTAGGTATGGGAAATCTAGACAGTCCCATGTATTGGTCAGTTAGTAGGTAAGAACATACCTTGTCCCTCAACTTTTAGTTAGTATGGCTCTATTTATTTCTGATACCCATTTATCTCCCTGCTGTCAAGGCATGGTTCCTGCTTAGCATGTTCTTAGGAAAAGTAGAGACTGTCTTGCAACTATCATCTATATACCGTGAAGATAGCGAAGATGTAAAAAGTGTGATGAATGCACATGCAAATTACAGTGGGCTCCTCTTTTAAATATTAATACCTCTTGTCACCACATGGTAAGGTGAAAGTTAAAATCATGTTTTTTTCTTTGTTTGGCTTTTTAATGTGACAGCACAAGGACACTGAGCTATTTTAGTCTATTCCTAATAAGAAAGAAAAATGCATTCTAATGAGGAAGAGGAAATTGTTGATTTTATGTGCGTGCGTTCCTGAATTACCTGCTCCTTCATGCATTGGTGGTGCAGCTTATGGATATGAAGTGCTGTTGCTAATTATCATTTCAAAAGCCTAGCTCTAATAAGACCAGACACAGCTCTGATCCTAGCAGGCTCTCTGTGGTGCTAACATTTTGGAGGATGTGAAATTTGATGAATGTTTACAGCTAAAGGTCACCTTTCCTCACACCTACATCAGTCAGGCAGTCACTGGGGCTTAGCTCCTGTGCTCCCATGTTGAGTTAATGAGGACTCAAGGACCTGTGAGCAGCTACAAGATAAAAAGCTTGGACTTTGAGGAGAGTCAACAAAAATGTTTCAGATAAACCTGAGATGGTCTTGATATATGTATAGAATAGAGAACAATCACATGCTGAGGACTTTTGAATATACAGAGAGAGCTGCAGAAAGGAATTGAGTGACTATACTTTTTCTCCTTTTGTTGAAAGAGACAGTCTTTTGGGTTATAGGTCATGATCTCTGTCATCATCCAAGCCCCCAAATTATTATAGCTCTGAGAATAAGCTAGTCAGATTCTAGGCTGCAGGAGTGTCCTGCCTGTCACTGAGGGAATAAATGGTGTGGCAGTTTCAGGGCTCCATATTGCATGAGGACAAGCTTTCTGACAGTCTGAGAGCACAAGGTCTCTACTCTAGAGCATCAGTCCCCTGGATCTATCACCGCAAAACTTCCTTCTTCTCGTAGCAACGGTTCCCGTTAAGAGAGGTCCCCCCAACTGTGTACTTGTACCACGCCAGGCAGAGCGTTCAGGATGTCCACCTTCTCCAGGGGCAGCAGGACAGCACTCATCAAAAGCTTTAAAAGTGGGCAATGACCGAGATTCTTTTTCTATGAATGTATTCAAAGGACATATAAAGATAATGTTACAGTGTCTTTAAAACTGGAAGCAACTTAAAGGTCCAATGACAAGGATTTGGGATAAGGTGTATTCGTGTATGGAATGTTACACAACCATTAATAACTTTGCCATACAATTACATGGTATGAAAGTGTTCCCACTCAAAAATGGTTTAAATGGTGACTTTTATGTTATGCATCTTTTACACAAAAAACGTGTTCGCAAATATTTTAAGTGAAAATTATCAGTTGCAAAACAGGGTATAGTGGCTTCTCACTTTTGTATGTGAAAATGCACCCTAAAATGGTAGCAGTTGCTATTTCAACATAGAAGGAAAGAACATAAGCGAATTTTTTATTCTTCTCTTTCCTTTCTATATTTTCTAATTTTTCTCTTAAGTACATTTCTTTTACATAAACTGTGGGGGGAATGAATAAGCTAACTAGATAAATAGAAGGAGAGTACTCTCCTCCTTGATTCCTTTTTATGACTTTTTAGTTGAGTTTCATTTCATTCTGCTTATTAAGTAGAAACGTAACTCCTGCAGAAGGAAATATTTGCAAATATGTTAAAATATAGAGCCCAAATTCCACAGTATGGATGTCTAATCAGATTATAGTGCTAAGATGTTGAATAGTTAAGACAATAGAAACATTTCCATATTGTTTGACACTTGACAGTTTTCCCTATGAGATTTTTTAGAATGCAGTGCAAAAACAATAAGGAAGGTGGAACTGCTCTGCAGGTGATAATCCAAACTTTTAGAAAATAGAGACCAGAGTAAAACTCTTGGATGATGGGGCCATGGAATGAGTGGTTCTCGATGAAAGCTCTGAATTAGCACAGTGTCTTCATCTCTAAACTATCACCAAATTGCCAGGTAAAAGTCTAGTTATTTCGACACTTCAGGATATAATTTGTAGAAATTGGATATTAATATATTTAAATATAGCATTGGGTCTCTGGTCAGCAGAGATTTAGCTGAGCAGCTACTATATGCCAAGGACCAGGGTAGATGTACATCAGGCAAAAAGACAGGACTCCTGTCTTCAAAGTACAGATCATGTTTACTTGATTTAACAGCAAAGCACACAAAATCCATCATGGAGGTAGTGGGTGAAGGATTTCTATGGCCTAAGAGGTTCCTCTGGACATCTGTCCACTCTACCTGGTTCCCTCAGATTAGTCAGAACACAGAGTGGGTGCATCTCCTCACAAATAAAGTACCTAAGTGTGTTCTGCTTGGAAGAAGCTTTTGTTTCTCATAAAGTGTTAGCACATTGTACAGTTCCAGTCAGGGAGCTATCCAATATCCTTCTCTCCAAGTGTGTTAAGTAAAATGTAGGCAGTCACATAGACCTAGTCTCAACTGATATCTATGTGAAATGCTTTCACATATATTTTTCTGTGCCAAAAATGTAAAGAGTTTGTCCAAACATGCAATTAAATATATCACATGTTCTGAGAGTGATCTCAAGAACCAGACTGCCCTGCTTCAATTCCTGGTCTCCCACTTGCTATGTGTGCTTTTTGTTTAATTTTCTGTGCTTCCTTTCAACCACCTCTACAAGGGAAGTGATGATAATTACTTGTCTCTTTGGAGTGTTTGCAAAGAGTGAATGAGAACGTGTGTCGAACCTTCTCAGAACAGTGACTGACCCTTAGTAAATTCTCCATAAATGTAAGCTCTGTATTAGGAGTCATGCTGGTGGCTGTAGTGAAATCAAATTTTAAATATGAGAATTCTAACTCCTTTAAATTTAAAAATTTATAGCCGTGAAACGCACAAGATTGCAGTGTTTTACATTGCTGAAGGTCAAGAAGACAAGTGTTCAATCCTCTCCAATGAAAGAGGAAGCCAAGCATATGAAGACTTTGTTGCCGGACTTGGATGGGAGGTAATTCATTTCGTTTGGGAGCTGTTTATTGACCAGCACTATTTAAGGATGTATGTAAACTGGACATCGATTATACAAGGTTTTACATTCAAATCTAGTACAGGTAGCCTTATGGAGTTGATGAATGTATTGAATTTGAACATCTTCTGTTAGTTGCTTTTCAGTACTTCATACATGAACTTTTATTTCCCTTAACTTTTCTTTTAATGTTATTTCATCTGCTTTTTATCCAAACTGAATAGTCAGATTGGCTCACCCAGCCATAGACAGTTTGTGGGAAGAGAAGATAAGTATAGGCAGAGAAGCATTGGCTTCAGCTACAGTATGGAGATTGGAGAAGAAATCAGTGACTTGGTGGGTGAAAAATATGAAGAAAGAGCTGGATGAAGTCAAAAATTGGCATGAAAATAGAATAGAGTAGCCATGAAGGTTTAGCAGCCAACCTCTTTCCCTAAGAGAGATCCCAGGATGACTGATATTGAAAGAATTTGCTTTTTCTCTGCTAAATGATACTCTGACAGACAGACATATACATTTATACACATGCGTGCCCGCACACACACACCCATCTGTCTCTTGGAACATAAATCTAAAGGAAAATATATTTCCAGAATCTAAAAGAACTCAGAGTAGTTATAATGGAAATCAGTATATCTGAAATAGTTTTCTTACTTTTCCTTACTTTTGTTTTGGTTTCTTGGTTATCTGTGCTGTGGGAAACTCTCTGGGTGCGTAAATAAGACTTGTCTCTGAGAGTTAAATGTTAGCAAGGAAACTAATATGGAGATGGGGACAGGAGAAGCCTACATTAAGGTCAAGACCATGTACTTTATAAAATGTCAAGTAGATTTTAGCCTAAAAATGTTACTGTACTCCAATAAATTGTCCTTCTTACTAATAAAGTGACTTCTTATTTACTGGGTAGAATATACTTAATTATTTTAACTGCTATACTTTTTAAACCACACATTCGTAACTGGAATTTTAAGAAAAGACTAGAACATTAGTTTAGTGTACATATTGATTATATTTGGCACAGAAGAGATTCTTCTATTGCTTTTTTTTCCAATTGTGTTACAATAGGTGCTTTACTGAAAGAATACCAGTTCATGAAAAGTTAAATTTAAAAAAAAGGGGGGGGGAGGTCCTAGGCATTGACTAAGAAGTGAGCATTTACATCATAGTTTGAAAAAGAATGATAAAAAAAAAAAGAATGATAACTCCCAGACTTGTAGTGGTGTAAATCAGAACAACCCCTTTGAAAGATAGGTTAGCAATGGCTGTTAAATATCAAAACATCTGTACCCTTTGATACAACATCCTACCAAAACATTCCTTTGAATGCTCCTTGTGATTTGATCACACCAGCACTGTTTGAGAAAGCAGAAAATCCCATAAATCCATCAATAGGGAAACTGTGTGTGTGTGTGTGTGTACATAAATACATAAAAATACACATACATACACACGCATGTATACATATGTTCGTGTGTATAGGATGGAAAAAAGCTAGAGAAATATGCACCAAATTTGTGATGGTGCCTGTCTTAGATTGATAGGATTTTGGAGCACTTTCATTGTGAATGTTTCTTTCATGTTTTGATTTTGTCTAATTTAGTATTACATTTGTTTTTTATCAGAAAGCTATAAAAATGAAAATAATTAGATTTCTTTAAAACAAAGGACATTCTTGCTTGGTGAATGAGGACAATTTAGGGTTGACCCTCACTCTTTCCTCTTTGTTACCTGCATCAGGTGGATCTCTCAACCCACTGTGGGTTCATGGGTGGACTTCAACGCAATGGCAGCACGGGGCAGACCGCTCCTTACTATGCTACCTCGACTGTGGAAGTCATTTTCCACGTTTCAACTCGCATGCCATCAGACTCAGATGATTCACTCACCAAAAAGGTAAGAAGCCTCTTTGAGGACCATTCTTAGCCACCATGGTTTGTAGGTGAGGCTCTCCTAGTCCAAATCAAAGGCCTTGGCATAACATGCACCAAGACTGATTTCCTCTGGATGCAATTTCAGTGTATATCTTCTCAAGCTACAGTTGTAATTAATCTGAAATATCTAGCTTGGCACAAACTAGACAAAGAAATAAATGAAAAGCAATCAGTCATTTGAGTCTTAGATCCTAAGATTAGGATTTAGGAAAAGGAAGGGTCTTAAATGTTATTAATTTTGGATCTTCCCTCACCTGACTGTTAACTGACAGAAAATAACATTGTTGACCTCTCAGGTTAGCAAAGGTCATAAGATGCAAGGACCCTGTACTGACAGATTGCTGAGAAAGCAGGCACCTCCCAGGCTTGCTGGGGGCAAGTGGGCAGTATCTGTGAAAATGACAAGTGCAGGTGTGCTCCTGCCTAGGGTCCAACCTTTGGCACTGACCTTGTTTCTCTTCCAACTTGGGCCCTGGAGGCAGAAGGGAACCTCCTTCACCTCTGAGAAACTCCCCAGGGGAACATGGCCCTGAACTTTCTAACCTGCAAGATGTTCACCTCAGGCGACCCTCTATTAGAGGTGAGGAGCACCTTAACAGAAGAGGAATCTTACTCTGGGAAGGAAGCCTAGAAATCTGACCCACTTCTCTGAGTTTCCAGATGAAAGGAACGACTGCAGGTAGCCTGCTAGTGGGTGGCTGAGCAAGCCTGGAATCCCTACCTCACACCCACTCTCTTTCTACAAGGATGCAAGAAAAACTGCAGACCTGAGTGGGTGGGAAAACAGCTCATTGAGAAGCTAAGGTTGCCATTGGTGGATCTAGCGTGGTGGTTATAGCCAGGGTCTGGAGACAGGCAGACCTGGGCTCAACTGTTACTAGCCCATGCCTCAGTTTCCCCATCTACTAAACGAAATTGAAATCAGCCTATGTCCCAGGGTTGTTGTGAAGTAAATGGATAATGCCCATGAAACTGCTTAGCATGGTGCCTGGTGTAAGATCTCTAACATTAGCCCTCGTCATTGCCCATTGGTCTAATTGAATCTTATTTCTCCTGCCCCATTAGGAGGTGACTGATATTGGCCAGTGGGCCCCACTGTTACCACCTCATCTCTTTTCTCTGCAGTTTTGCCTTTTCATCACTGTAGCCCCAGACGTCTAAACCTCCTATATCGTGGGCAGTGGTGTTTATAAGACCTTAGAGCTTGGGTCACGGCACAATCACAGACAACTTTCACGGTGACTAAGTGCCTGGGATGTGCAGAGCATGATGGCCGTGTGCTGCCTCCCTCAGCCATGGAGGAGCTGCCTCCCCGTCTTAGGTTTTGATGGCCACCCTGGTGGCAACATTCTTATTGAAGGGAGGACCCGGCTCTGTTTCAGATTACCAAGACCTTAGGCAAGGCTTCCACATCCTTTTTATTTGCAGTACCTTGTAAATTGCTGATAATCTGCACATATGTTGCCATATTCTATGACTTTTTTATGACTGAGAACTATTTTGTTAATATGTTTATTTAAAATATCTTTAAAAATTATTCCCTAGGTAGGATTCTTTTATTTTTTTCCCTCTTCCTTTTTCTCTCTCTTTTTTTTTTTTTTTTTGTGAAAAGACGTCATGTTTTCTTGATAAAACGCCTTGCTATAAATAATGTTGCAAGGCTTGGCCTGGTTGAAAGATTCCCTACTGTAATAATCAAAATTCAGCTGATACCTTTTGCAGGTCTGAGATTCAGCATCATTAGTGACAAACTCTCTTTATCAGGATGTCTCACAGCCAGACTAAAAATCAGTCACAGTAACAGCAGCCCACAGTTCCTTGTCTTATTCTAACTAAATTGTCCCTAACAGCTTAAAAATGAGCTGCAAAATTCTAAAGTGATTCATGCTCTCTTCTGCCCCTGTCATGGGGGCACTTTTTCAATTCCACAATCCGGTTGCAACCCCATACTGAACTCTTGATCCTTCACTGCAGAAATTTGTTAGCTCTAGCTAGATTAGATTTTTCACAGCTAATCTAACTGCTGTAGGGGTTTGCAGAGTGGGGACAGAGCTGTGCTATTGGATTTGTCCAATTCATTTGACTCCAGGACTATAATTGCACTTATGTCTTACAAGGCTTTTATAGCCTCAGGCTGGCCAGCCACATAAAAAACAAATTGGCAGTGATACAGTACGAGTGAAAAGGGATGAAAGGCCCACATTATCAGTCTCCAGGCAGCACTGTTCTGGCAGGAAGTTTCTTGGTTAATTTACAAATAAAACTTAGATTTTAGGATGGGCACACTGTCAGCTGAACAATGGGGATGTCAGGCCTGACTGTTACTTAGTAAAAGTAGCAGCCGGGCCTACTGAGGAGCAGGAATTCTTCAATCAAACAGACGACTCCTTCTGGAGCCAGCTGGCGATGTAATGCAATTAGTCGGGAAAGGAGGTCAGCCTATTAGGTGTGTACCATGACCAGTGTCACCCGTGCGTGCCGCCTGGCAGCAGCAGGCAGAATGGCCCAGGCGAAGGACTTTGAAACTCTGTCAGGATGAGAAGTAGCAGGACATGGGGTTGATTTCTTAAGACTGAAGAAGCGAGCATTTGTTCCGAGCCTGTTAAGCATCCATGCGTTCTGGAGCCTGTTGTGCAATTGAAACTGTAGCTGGCGTGAATGACAGCTCCATCCCAGGGTGAGACTCATCGGTCTTTCGCAGATCATACATGAGTCATACCAGCTTGACTTGCATGCACGCAACAAACTCACTGGTGGATTTCAGACGGGGGCCCTCTACTCAGAATTCTCCAGAACTCAACAAAATGACATCTCTGTAATGAAATCCCCTTTAAATTGAGCAACACATTGAAGCTTCCAGAGTATTCCTTCCTCTTCTGACATGGTGAACATTTTGGCTGAGTTAGTTTTACTTGTTTCACCTGCTTATGTTCTGGTCTGAGGCGGAAGAGGGCATGTTTTTGCTCTCTGCTCCAGATCTACCAGTCAGTGGGTCCTGTGGCCTTAGCCCTTAGTTTTGTGAGTTAGCCAATTAAACTGTGGCTTGTCCAGAGATCTGGAGCACATGACATTGAAAGCAGCTTTGAGATGATGAGTATTGTATCATTACCACACAGAAATAGCTTTTCCTTAATTACAGAAATGCCACACTGGGAGGACGGGTCTGTCCGTGTGATACTATTCTCCCTTGCTGTGGTTCTGAGAACTCAGTCCAAACAGAATTAGGAGAGACTTACGTGGATTATATAATTGAGGAACCTAATTGAGAAAAGGGAGAGTAACTGCAAAATTTCAGTAATCACTGTATTACCTCAGAGTTAATGCCTTGAGCAACTTATGCTTCTGGATTGAAAGGAATCATCACAGGTTTTAGGGTGCTGGCGTGAGGTGATAGCCCCACATTTGGAGGGTGTGTAGTAGGTGTGTTATTCCCATTGCGACTTTTGTGCTGGCATTATGTCAAGGGGCACAACAAAACCGCCTGGCAGTTTGCCTCTCTTGACAGGGTGAGGGCAGCCCCACTGTCACAATTCTCTTCTGCTGGGCTGAATCCACCCCCAACCACCACCAAGTTTCAATTTGATACAATTCCTATTTCCCTTGAAAACCTGCCTTTATGTGTTGCTGGTAATGCTGACTACCATGTTTTCACTCCAAAACGATTGAATTTCAGGAGTGTGTTGTGAGAGCTTAGCATGTTTTATTAGAAAGGAAAGAGAAAAGAAAGAGAGGTGGAAATAGAGGAATAGAGGGAGACATTCAGTGTTGCTATGAGAACTTGGTGTCTTTCTTTTTCTTTTAACTATTTATGGTGGTAATGGCTTGGCTACACCTTTTGCTTGCTACCCTTTTAGCCTTTATATGTGATAGGGGAAGAAGAAGAAGAAAAATGTACTGGGTAATTTTACACTTAGAAAGTTGTAGACACCATTGAATTGTTTTGGATCGTCGTGACTTGTGCTCAACACCCACAGTTGCATTTATCCCAGCGCCCAAGCTCAGACACAGTTGAATCGTGCGCCCCTCACCATAGGGGTTACCTACAATCACACCTGTACCTCACAGTAGTACAAAGGTACTGGTGTAAGTCTTTTTAAAAAATTGACTTACACAGTCATTCCCAGAAGCATGAAAGAGTAAATAGGACAGCATTGCCGCAAGCCAACTTCCTTTGTAACCTTGTAAATGGAAAGGAGGCCATGTTGGGGTCACCTCAGAGTTTTCTTTTGTGGTCAAATAGTCTGTAAAGAAAATTTTATTTATGCTAACATGTTTTAAATACATGGTACTCCAGAGCATCCTTTTTTGTGTGTGTATTTTAATACAAAACTACAACATTACCTTTGACACAACATTGCTATTTTATTAACAGTGCCTCTGAATTTAGTCATTTTTAGCGTTCATCTATAAATAAGCTAGGAAGCAAGAAATACTTTTTTTCGGTGGTAGATAGCATTCTTCTTATGTGGCATGTGAGAGAACCAAACCTCAGACTTTCAGTAGGTGTCAAAGCGCCTTCACCAGTCAGCCTTTATATAAAGGTTGTAGGACTTCAATTTAGGCCAACATTTTAATCTTTAAAATCTAGTTTCTTTTAGTCACAGCCTCAGGCTTATCAGACGATTTCATGCAGGGCTTTCACTGCCCGGGATGTGCAGTCGGTACGCAGGACCTTCATCAAGGGTGTTCTTGTGGCTGAAGAACTCGGCCCAGGAAGAAGTCTCAGAGTCCCTTCCTTGGAGGCATGCTAAGCCCTCGTCAGAGACGCCGGGGATCTCTGGCTTGTTTTTGGGTTTTATGGCGTCTTTGTCTATAAAATGACAAAAACAGTGGGCTACACTATTTGAGCTGCGACAGTACAGTTGGCTTTGGTGTCGACTTCGATGGCCGTGAACAGTAGAAATGGCACTAAGTTAGAGGCCCCAGCCCAGGTTTCCAGGCCTGCTCTGCTCCTTGCTGTTTGCACACCTTGGTCAGGTGTGCCTTTGTCTTCCTGAGCCCCATCTCCTCCCTGTCAGATAACACAAAGATGAGGTCATCTGCCTCAGAGAGTTAGTGGAAAGATGAGGCAAAGGCAATCTCTGAATGCTAGTTACTAGTGTTCTTATTAAATTTAAGTAATACTTATTAATTTCTTAAATGAAGGTAATTTTTTTTTTTAAAGATTTTATTTATTTATTTGACAGAGAGAGACACAGCAAGAGAGGGAACACAAGCAGGGGGAGCAGGAGAGGGAGAAGCAAGCTTCCTGCGGAGCAGGGAGCCCGATGCTCCCTGCTTCTTAAAGCTTTGTCACAAATCTAGTTTTTATACATTTGGTAACAATTGTGTTATAGTAGCTTTTGGTCTCTTTTATTCGTATTTTTTCTTAATAACCATTGAATTAAGAGTCTTATGAAGCTCTATTGCAATATGGAATAAAAGGCTCATGTCATTAATTGTTTGGAGACATGCTCAGCAATATAAAGCATAAGGATTTAGTACCAGGAGTAAAATTCAATTTAAAAAAATCCTTGAAAAGGTCTCATCCCCTTCCAGCAATAATGTACCTGCCATGCTTAATACGCATCATCTCAGTGCCACTTATTTCATAGAAAAAGTAAGTGGTGTTTTCATGTGTTTGTGTTTTTTAAATCCTCATAGAAGACAGTGGTGTCGTACCTTTTTTTAGTAGTGAAATATTTTTGCCTCTGAGTATTATAATTCAATTTGTAAGCCACGACCCCTCATAAACTGCTGTTATCACTCTGATTAATAAAGAGCCAATTGGCCATTGCAGCTCCGTCACTTGGGGAATGACGAGGTCCACATCGTCTGGTCTGAACACTCCAGGGACTACCGCAGGGGCATTATCCCGACCGCCTTCGGAGACGTTTCAATCATTATTTACCCAGTGAAGAATCACATGTTCTTTATCGCGATCACGAAGAAACCCGAGGTACGTTTTCACCGCATTATCACTCTGACTCATATAGCATTTGCCACATGATTCACTGTTTTTGAAAAACAGTGATAATAAATATGTTAAGGAGGACTTTTTTCCAACTGGCTAATGTCTCACATATATCTGAATTACACATGCTATAGGGAAATTCAGTATGAATTGGGATTTTTCAGAGTATCTTTCCTTAGGAGGACAGAATTCTGTATTTTTATGTCTAGATTCTTTGGAAATTATTGTGTGAAGACATGAATGGTATTTTAAATGTTTTGAATTTAAAATTTTTTCTTAATTTTAAAAAATGGTAATTTTAAATTTGGGACACATTAATTAATAATAATAAGAGTTGAATGAACCCCCTGTCACATCTAGCATTTTGTGGATGGCTGTGGGTATAGAATTCGACCTTCCGTGACAAACAGGCACTGCTCACCGAGCCTCTGACTGCTGCTAATGGGGGTCAATCCTGAAGGATTGCGAGCATGGCCGTGAAGAAGACTAGGCCTCTGTAGCACAGCCTGCCCATGTGATGATTTTTAACAATTGAAGCACCTTGCCACAGAATCAATGCAGCCACGTCAATTGGTATTGATCATGGGAATGGCTGGAACAATCCAATGGTTATGTGCCGTGTACTACATTGGCTGCGGTTTCGATCCTTGCCATGCCTTTAGTGCTATTTTAGCGGTGCTTTATATAGTGACTTGTTTTTGTGTTGGAATTATTAATGGAAGGGTTTGCTTTTAAGTTTTTAATTAAACGTTTAGCATAGTTAAGTCACTCCTCAAGAAAATGACTTTGTGCTCTAGGTTGGTATTAAGTGTAATCTTCATTTTCATTCCAAATTGTTCTCTTGAAGGAGCTAAAAGTTACCATTCTAAATACTCTCTACTTTTGGCTTTGAAATAATAGGTAACTGAGATTTCCTGGGATTTATAGCATGATCGAAAGTGTTAAAGTCATGCAGATTAAATGAACTAAGAAGTGAAAGGTGCCTCAAACAGTGGCTGGCTCAGAATAAAAGCCGTTTAAGTGTTAGTTGTTGCTGTTGTTATTACCATTGCTAGTAATTTTTCAGTTACAGTCACTACATGAAAATAGAATAAATAATGAATCATTTCTCAGACTAGACACAGTGTGGGTCACCTCCTGAATTCAGAAAAGCCCCACTCTGGCTGGTGAGAAGCCTGACATAAAGGGAACCCTCTTTTCTGTTCAGGGAGTGAAGATGCCACAAGTTCTTCATACTAAATATTTGTGTTATTTCTGATTCATGTCTTTGTGTGTGCGGAAAATTTTCACTCTTGTGTAAGAAAATGGCTCTGAGTGCTAGTGGCATTTATGTTTGTCCAGGAAGAACACTAATTTTAAGAATTAAACTAAAAATGTTTATATTAGACAACCAACAGATTTAGTGTCCTATAGCTTCCAAATCTGCAAAATGTGGTTCTTTATTATTTAGTGTGGATTAACTGGTTTTATTAGTTCATTTTCAACATGGCCCTCTAAAATGTCACTTACCATCCTAAAAATGTCGCCTTTATTTTTTGTAGTAAATAAAGAACATAAAAGGTATTTCAATTCACTTCACAGTGTTAAAAGTGACACTTGTAACTTTCTTAAAAAGTGATTTTTTAATAGGCATTACACTTTTAACACATGAAAACACATATTAACATACCTTTTCAAAATTTCTTTAGAAAATGTATGTAAGTTTTATAAATTTGGTCATAAATTTTGACAAGATGAATTGAGCAAATCGGTGTCTTAATATTTCAATTCAAAGAGCCTAAAGGAAAGAAGAGAATAATGGCCAACTGGAAATTTAGTGTTATCCCCACATTTAAAGTACAAACCATTACAATGTAATAAAATTAATCCAGACATTTCCAGGGCAAGTGTGGCTGACCTTTTGTTCACCAACCACTGACCCCAGGGTGAATGCAAGAGGCTTGTGGAGGGAAAGTCTGTTTGTTTGGCTTCAGTCCCTGGTATTTAAATTGCATTCCCTAATCAAATGAAAAGGCTGTCCTCTCTATCAGGTTACAGAATCCATGGCAACATTTGGCCTTTTATATCCATAATGTTAGCCTTTTTGTTTGCATCTAAGTAGAGACACCTGGAGCAATGTTAACATTAACCGATTTAGCATTAATAGCTTCATTATATAAGAATTTCTGATCAGATAGCTGTTACTTTTGTTATATTGCTTCAGCTTGTATTGTTGTCATTTTTTATCTCCCTGCTTGGCAACCAGGCAATGATTTGCAAATTTTTTTTGTCTTGATTAATTAAGCAATATAATTATCAGTAACCGTGATGCAGTCTTTGCTCAACAAAGCTTCTGAGAGAAAACAATGGTAAGTCTGTTAGTATGAATGCATTCCACGCGTCCCAGATGCATGAGGATATTATGGACAATGAGAGGAAAGGCCGCCTGTGAGCGAGGACAAAGGGTGCCACGCAGACTCGACACACTGCACATACCGCCAGGGACATGCTGCGGGCTCCCTGGGACACAGACGCCTCGTTAGATTACAGCTAGTCAGCAGAGATTAATTCTCAGCCATTTGGTGCAATAATTTACCCATTCCCCAGTCTTTTAACTAGTGCTCCTCACTGTGGAAGTAAAGGCTTTGTACTCAAAAGGTTTATTTAACCTTGCCTACTTTTAGGGATCTCCACCAAAATCTTTTTTTTTTGCTTAGAAATTGTATTGACGCAGCTGCTTGAAACTGAGGAATATTTCTTTGGAGGAGGACAGGATTAAGCACAAGTTTCACGAATTATAGGTGGAGTCAAAGGCATTCTTTTAGCACCTGTATATTTCATCTGAATATAGTATGACTCTGGTCTAAGTACATTTATTTTACTGGTCTCTGGGCAGCCATACTTCTCTAAGAATAATTTTAATCCTTTTTTAGGAGGGGAAAAAAAAAAAACCTCATCAGTACACAAAAGTCCTGCTCATTGGATAGAGTCATGCATATTCAAAATGTACTTTCATTCACTCGGCCTCATTAATAGCGTATGTAATAATGTAGGGCTATTTGTAATACAAGCTCACAGGCAGCATTGCTTCCAAGTCCTTTGAAATTTAACATATTTCGCTTTTTCATTCCATACTCCTCCCTTAAATATACAAATTATGTGCCTGGCAGAATCCGCCTCCTCTTAATAATACACAGCATTTGCGAAATGGTATGTTGAAGTGTGGTGTGCTGTATGAGCACAGAAAACCCTCGCGTCTGAGAGGGTCTGCTCACTTCTTGAGCCTTTTATTGAACTTTTTAAAAATAAATAAATAAATAAATAAATAAATAAATAAATAAATAAATATCAGTGTGTTCAGTAACAGGATTTCATTGTGAAATTATTTTCAAAGTAAGTTCATCTCTGTAAATATTGACATGGTAGTCTTTGGTCATGAAAAGAAATGTGCTGTTGTCAGATTGCCGGGGTTTTTTTATTTCTATTTTTATTACTAAGTTAGTAGTCAGGGAAAACTTGCATATAGAGCAGAACACGAGTGCTTGAAAGGGTTTGTTTAAATGCCTAATTTATTCTGCAGAAAAGGGGTTCATAAAGCTTCCATATCACAGTGAGAACCCGTGTTGCTTTTCTTTTTTCAGCAACTAAAAATAATTTTGGTGTTCAAAACATTTGCTTTTATGAATTTGTAAAGGTAGGTTTTAGTGTTCCTGTCATGTTTATCTCCAGGCACATTAGCAACTGGCTAGTGACTGCCCGGCCAGAGGGTGGACATGCTGGAGCAGCCTTGACCGGGCACAGTTAGGACAAGAGAAAGCTTTGAGGAAGCTGAGAGTCCTCCTTATCACCTCAACCAGAATGTCAATTTTCTAAGTGAAAGACATGTTAATGTCCTCCAGACTCTCCTTACTTGGCCCTAGTAGATACGGGCAGAGGAGAAAATGGATGATTCAGCCATTTCTGAGAAGTACATGCAGGAAAGAATGCCAGGATAGAGGACGGGACCCCAGAGTTCCAGTTCCTGTGCAGCCACACGTGGGTGCGGGTCTTGGGCAGGTCTCTTAATTTCTTTAGACTTTTATTTCCTCAGCTGTAGCATTCAGGTTGGGGACCAAGTTCTCTCTGCAGTCCTTTTCAAGGATTCTAAGTGCCCCTTTAAGATGGGCCCTGTTTGATCCTCCTGTTCCTAGATGCCCGTCCTTTCCCTAAGCTGCCCCAACTCACCAGGTTGCTGTCAAGGTGGTATCTGTCTCCCTTGCAGGCTCAGCAGCTACTGTGAGTGTGTCAGTGTGTGAGCGTATGCCTGTGTGTGTGTGTGTTCTCATCCAATTCAGGAAGACAGCTAGCCCAGAACCTTCATCTGGAGCCAGTGCCCAGAAATCCTGGTTAAGGCTGATGCACCAGAAATCACAAAAGCATTTTTGCACATGTAAGGTGAAAAGTAGCCAGTATTGGCATCTCTGTTTGAAAGGAAATCTTTTACTAATGTGGCTTCGTTATATATGGAGTATGTTTGACTGCAACATGGTTATGGAAATTTCTTTTTATTTCATCTATGCAATTTTGTTAAATATTTATCTCAACCCCAACCAAATAACCTTCTTGAGATTAAAGCATATCCTTTAAAACATTCTGGGAAATTCTCAGGGAAAGTAAATTGTTAACTTTTGAATATGTGAAGAATCATTTATTCTAAAAGATAATTGAAAATGCTGAATAACCAGAATTTACTAAAAGACATTATTTTTTTTAAGATTTTATTTTTTTAAGTAATCTCTACACCTTACATGGGGCTTGAACTTACAACCCCAAGATCAAGCATCACATACTCTACTGACTGAGCCAACCAGGTGCCCCAAAAATATGTAATTAAATCTATTATCGCAATATGTTCTTTTGGAAATTTATTATTATTGTTATTGGAGTTTTTTTAGTAAAGGAATGACATTGAGAACTTTGTGAAAGGCAGCTGTCATTTGCAGATGTTATATCAAAAACAAACTTCT